CATCGTATATTATATTGTATATAATGTTTATTATAACTCCGAAACACGAACCTTGATGAACAAGGCCGCTGCTCGGAGAAACGAGTTGAGCGCGGTACTACAAGGGACGTGGCGAGGATCGAACTCCGAACCACTCGTTTATGAAGCGAGCGCTCTACCACTACACCACTACCGCATATATATATATGTATATATATATATATATATATATATATATATATATATATATATATATATATATATATATATATATATATATATATTGAGTAAAGATATTTACCATGACAGAGAAAAAAATATATATATAGACTTATTATTACAAGCTATTTTGGCTATGAGCATTGTGATCAAATTTGCATTTTTGGTATTGTAGTACAATGGTTCGAGTAAACTTTCAAAATGGATACAGAAATTAGAACTGGTAACAAAACTTTCAAAAGTTGACAAGTTGCATGTGGTGCTTCCCTTATTTCTTTCTGGCAGGTCGTTTGCTGTTTATCAAGACCTCAGTGATGAGATAAAAGAAGACTACAAAGAAGTGAAAAATGCACTGACTCTTGCCTTCTCTACTTCTCCGCTAACAGCATACAAAGAGTTAGTAAGTCACCTTCTTAAAGAGAATGAGTCTGTTGACATATATCTAGCAGAATTAACAAGGCTGAGTAAGCTAATATCATCTCACATAAGAGAAGAGTGGATAAGGTGCGCATTTATTCTTTGATTACCTGATTGATTCAAACGAATTCAACAAAACAAATTAAAAGCATGTCTAATGATGGATTACCATGAGCTGAATCAATTTGTATTTAGTCATACTGCAGATGGTGATGTTTGGACCAAACTTTGCAGCTGGAAAAGTTGTGAGAAAATCTTGAGATAATTGATTTAAAGAAAGCGTACCTGCAGATAAGTGTTGACAAAGCATTATGAAAATATCAAGTTGTGTAATATGAAGGTCTTAGGCATTAATGTCTAACAAGATTAGGTTTTGGTTTGTATGCGGCACCCAGAATAATAACTAAAATCTTAAGAAAGGTTTTGTCTTCAGACAAAGTTGATGAGTCTGGGAAGAATTCATTTATTGTAGGCTGGTGAAATAATAAGTGACTGTTCATAGTTCAAGTGAAGTGGCTGGGGAAATAATAGAAGACTGTTCATGGTTGAGGAAACAAGATGATACGGCTCACCTTAATCTTGCAGAGTTAAAAGTTGTGATAAAAGAAATTAATCTAGCAACAAAATAGGGATTCAAATGTATTACCATAAAGTGTGATTCAGCTACTGTTATTTTATGGTTGAACTCTTAAATTACTAATGACAAATCAATTTGAGTACAAGGACTTGGAGAACCTCTTGTTTGTCACCAGTTGTCTGTAATTTAAGACTTTGTGAAGGAGTGCGGTATACAAATAAAACCTTTTCTGGAAAAGTTAGCAGAAAATAAAGCCAACGTTTTTACAAGGGTACCACAGAACTAGCTGCATTCAAACCATTCTGCAATGACAGCAAGTGTTGTACCGCTATGAACTATGCGCAGAATCGGAAGTGTCTATCCTGTTTTGTTGCACTTACAGGCCATCTGGAAATGGAATTGTTGAGCGCCATCATCACATAATTAAGAATATAACAGTCCGAAGTGGCAAAGACCTGTTAAATATCTAGGTATAACATGAATCTCAGAATAAATGGCAAGGAAATGTTGCGCCCTACAAAGCTGTATTCTTCTTTGAGTAGAAACCACACACAATTTCTACCAAAACTAATGAGGAAGTTCTTCACAACTATACACAAGGACAAGTATTATTTGTTAAACCACCTGACTCAAAATGTAAAAGCAAATGAATTGGCGAGACACATGTCAGATAACCATCCAGCTTCCATTGCAGCTGACTTGTGTGTACAAGAGAATAGGAGGAACCCAGTAACATAACGTTATGTGCAAAATATCCCTTATTTTTAAGTAACTGAGTATATATATTAGGGTGGCTCTTAAAACAACTTTTTTGAGAAAAACCATCTCCCACCCCCTAAATGTGGGAGGAATCTAATACAGAAACACTAAGTTTACATTTTTTTTTGAATAAAAAATATTTTAAGGGGTCCCTCAAGACTCTTAAATATAATGGGTCCCTAGTGTTTTTCAAAAATATGTCAACCTGATACTCAAATGAAGGAAAATTTTATAAAAATTTTCAAAATAATATTCATTTTGAAAATTTTTAACTTGCTTACACTTTTAAAAGTTAAAATAAAAAACAATTGAGACATAACGTTGCAAATTGAAACTTTTTATTTTTTTCGTGACAAAATAACCAATTGAGACGAAGCTATTTTGCAAAAAAATAAAATAAAGTTTGATAATTAGCAATACAACAATGATTAACAAACATTTACTGCATTATCAATGTGTTTATCAAGTTCATTTATCAATGTGTATATCAATTTCACATAACCCAGTACAATCTGCTTCATGTCCTGCTGCCTTGTAGGGTACTGTCTTGCAGAAGGCCTCCTAGGCAAAGACTTAAGAAGTAAACCCCGGCTTTATCTATTAGGCTGGTGCAGATGTATTATTAATACATTGTTTCCAGTTTAGGAAACAAGATCTTTTTGATTCGATGCATGGTTTTTGCTTGTGTCTCTGTTTTTATGACTAGGCAACTCATTCTATTATCTACTAATGAGGGTACAGCTCTAAAACTCAGTTTTATGGTTCTGAGGCCGGCTGGTAGTCAGGTTTCCCGAACTATGTGGTAGCTTTCAGTGGGGCTGATTCCATCAACAGCTAAAAAATATCAAAGTATTAGCAGTACCATCATGTGCATGGATAGTGTCCTTGTTTTTATTTTTGGTGTGCATTGCCAAGCCCACGTTGGAGCTCTTTGTTACAGCTTAGGATTTCTTAATAGTATCGAGGCAATGGATTGTAGTATGGAGGCTGAGTATGGATTGGACTATTAAACAGTGTACTGAGTACTATCTATGCTTTGAGTTAAGTTCTTGGTAAAATCATTGTCATCACCAAGTTCTCTAAACCTGTCTTTCACTAATATTTGTGGTCTTTGAAGTAACTTTTCTTCTGTTGAGTCATATCTCTTGCAAAGTTCACCAAACCTAATTGCAAAACAATTCTCCAGAAAACAAACGTCTGTTTATTACTGCTAGAAACCATTATAAAAAGATTTTGTCTAACACCAAAACCTGCTATTCTCAGGTCATGAACTCTCGTATTTTATCTCAAAAATTAGGCTTTTGTGACTTCTGAAGAATCTTTAATAGTATCAATAATAAAGTCAAATCTGTAATTCCACCTGACTTCTGCTACAGCATGGGGCTTACAGTGGCTGATGAACTTTAATTCAGATAAAACTCAAATTTTTTTCAGCCAATTGTTATCGCAATAATTTAGACCTTCCTATATTTATGAATGGTAATGTACTCGATGAGTCATCTACCTTTATCTTTAAGGATTAACTATTACTTCCGATCTTTCTAGGAAACCATATATCAAAACAATTGCAAAATTAGCATCCGCTAAGGTTACATCTTATCAAGCTGGACACTTTCTTACTCTGGACTCTATTCTGTATTTCTATAAATCTCAAATCTAGCCTTGTATGGAATACTGTTGCCATATCTGGGGCAGATCTTTTATTGATGCCCTTTCTCTTTTAGGCAAAAAGTATGGTAAACACATTTGGACCTGCTTGTGCAGCCAGTTGTGCTCCTTAAACTAAATCACATTGTTGTATATTGCTTCTCTTACTCTTTTCTGCAATCTGCAATACAGATTGCAGAAAAATTTCAATGGGGGAATTGTTTCAATACCCCCATTGAAACAATCAGCAGTGTTGTTGGATTCTCCAAACTTTACATTTAAACCCGATAGTATATGTTTTGATGAACTTTTGTTATCAATGCTCAAAAGTCTGCATTGTTATATTACTTAACTTTTTTAATGAAACTTTTAGGAGCCTATTTAAAACATTTTTTTAAGTTTTTTCATACATTTTTTCAAACAGAGCTATCATTATATTCTTGATCTCTAGTAATTCATCTAAACATTGAAAATTGAGCTATGTAAGGGAAACAATTTCAGAAATGCATGAAGTATTGCAAATACATTTACAAGTTTGTGCAATACAATATATAATACATGGCTGGGGCAAGAAGAAAACTAGTTTAGTCTTATCACCAAGCCCCTTAAAAAGCCACTTAAAAAGAAGCCATGGTATTCTTTTATTTATTTTCTTTCGTCATTACAAAATTTAATAATCAAAAAATTTATTTTGCAAATAAATAGAAATTTATTTTCTGATTTTCCTATTATATAAGTATTGAGAAAAAACGTCAAGTATACTGAAAACATTTCTAAAACTAAAATAAGTGAAAATGAATAAATGTAAAAAAAAATTAACAAAGTTTCTCATAGTTCTAGAGTACATAGCAAATTAGTTTCATAAAATTTGTGAATAAATTACATTCCAACTTTCAATTGTTGTCAAAAAATTTTAAAACTTTTGTTATAAAATATGTTTATTTTCCTCAAATTCTGTATATAAAAATAACCACCCTAAAAAAAAAAAATACAAGAGTATAAAAATTTTGTAAAAAAGTTTTTTTTTTTTAATTATTAAATTTTTCTAAGTTTATCTAATTAAAATTTTTTATTTGGTTACAATTTTGTTTCCTTTTTTTAGTTTTTTTTTTTTTTTTCCAGTAGATAAGTAAAGCTTTTTGTCTCAAATTATTGGAACGCTTTAAAAGTTAAAAAATGCAAACTATCGTGGTCAGTGTGTCTAAAAAATTTACTTAAATGTGGGCATACGAGGCATGCGACTGTACGCGCCTTCTGGAAAGGCTTGTATACATTATGCACATTTCCACCTCTTTTATTATTATCTTATCAATAATTTGTCATTCTATCCCTAAAATAAATAGAGTTGAGGCTCTTGATAGTCCTGAGTTTTAATTTTTATATATTTTTACTTACTTTTAAGGTGAACATTTTTTCTGCTGATTTAAGTGGTTTTAATTTGCCTGTCTTCGACCAAATGTTTTTTGCTGATCAGCGTTTAGTAAAAGCTCGGTTTCCAAATGCTAATCCAGAAATACAAGGTCTTCATACTTTTCCCACAGGTTACATTGATCAAGCAGCATCATGGTTGCCCCCTAAAGTTGCTTCTCCTCCTATAGATATAAAGTTGCAGTCTCCGAATAGACCTAATTCTTATTTTAGCAGCTTTTTTGTTGGTATTGGTGGAACTGTATCCCAATTTGAACCTCCAAGTTCATATTGGGGATCTTCATCTCCTGTTGCAGGCAGTATATACAATGTTCCCTCAGGATTGCGATACTATAATGACTCTGAATTTAATTCACGTAGCTGGAAGAACCCAAGTACTGGTGTTGTACATGCTTTTCATGGAGATCATTGGGGAAATTGGATGTTTAAATTGGATAGTAGAGACCAGGTAATTAAAAAAAATTTAGTTTCCTAATAAAACTTTTTTGAATAGTTTTTTGAATATCTTGTTTATTTGTTTAATTGTGTATAGGGAAGCCAAACGCTTAAATGGAGCTGGGGTGGTTTTCAAGAAGCTCGTGGAGATAGTAATGGTCGAGAATGGTATATTGAAAATATATTTGAAGAACTGGATGTTGCTAATGAATGGTTTTATGATAAAGAAGAAAAAATTTTATATTATTTTCCAAATGTGACAGCAAATGGAGAGTTTATATTACCATCAAAGGTTTGTGTGTGTGTACATAACATTGTAAAAGTTTATTTTAGGTGGAAAACCTCTGTTTTTACTTTTTAAGCCTTGTATCCGTAATCATTTTTATAGTTTGCACCAACTTACCCTGATGTAATTTAGCGTAAACTATAAAAATGATTAATTTATTATTAGGTGCAAAAATCTTTTACTACCAATTTCTGCAATAATTTAAAGCCCAAAATTTAATTTTACTTCAAGCTGGTAGAAATTAATCGTTTGTATAACAAGCCATAACAACAGCCACTTTTTTCTAGGTAAAAAAATCCCCTAAATGTTTTTTAATTTTTTTCATAAAAAGTATTTTTAAAGATTTTAAATTGAAATTTTTATCAGCAACTCATGGAATATCTTTTTTTTGTTTGTTTTTGTTTTTTATATGCAGATGCCACTGCTCTCCAAATTGACCGCCAGATTGAAGCTCTCCCCACTTCTAATTTTTTGCATTTAATTAATCATATGCATTAGTAAACACAATTTAAGTTGTCAGAAAAATCTGAACTAAGGGCTAAGTATGTATGTTTTCAAAATTAAAATTTATAATTTTTTTCTTTTTTTTCTTTGTAAGTTTCATTAAAGTCAGCCATTATGGTAGTCAAAATAGGCTATTTACAGAAAATGATATATAAAATGTATCATTGATTTACGGCTTCTTTCCAGATATAACTATCACTTTTCAACATGGCGTCAGATTTCAAATTATGTACTTGTACAGTTTACTTGATAAATAAAGTTATCAGATCTAAATCTTTAACACCTTCAGTTTGTGAAAAAATTCAAGAATACATCTGGCCAAACTTCAATTCTAATCTTGAAGTTTGTCCTTCAGTAGTTTGTTCCAACTGCAGAAGAAAATTATAGTCTAAACAAAGGCGAGACTGCATATCTTTCAACTGGTTAGAGACTATATCAAAGGTACTTTAATATGAATAATTATAAAAAAATCCTGTAGTTTTAATGCATAAATATATTAGCACTGATTTAATTTATAAAGCAATTTTGTATTTTAGATAAATAGAAGTATTATTAGGAGAACCTCTTCACTGCAATGTATCCAGACAAATGTAGAGCCAGAATTGAATTTTTCAAATGCGAATGAGAAAATTTGTGGACTCTACTATTTGAATCATGTATGTTGAGACTATGATTTTATAATTTAAATAAGATTAATTGAAGTTAGATTCTCTTTATGTTACATTACAGTTTGATTCAATGTATTATTGTTTTTTATTTAATTTCAAGTTACTGTTAACATAGTTTTAAATTTCCCACTATTAATTTTAGGTAAAGGAATTTCTCACGATTGTTGCAAAAGTAAAGCTGTTAAGAGTATCATCGATATTAGTGAATTGCTTGGATATAAAAGTGCAGAGCAAGTAGCTTCCGGATTGTTAAAACTTAAAATGGAATTTGAAAACATTCTAAGTGGAGAGCAGTTTATGTTGTTTACTGGTGGAAATCTTCTGGCTCTTACAGTTGAAGTAAATGAAAATAAATCAAAAAGAAAGAAAGTAAATCAAGTTTCATTCCAAGCTATTATGGAGCTATCGAACAAATTAGAACTCTCTAAGAACAAAACTAAAAAACTGTGTTCTACTCTATGCAGTAATCTAACTGGTGTAGAATCAAACAATAATATTAAAATGACTGAATTATAGGATACACTAGGTACTTTATATGAATGTAAAACTGAAGAATTCTTTGACAGTGATAAAGTAGTTGTTAGAGATATAGTTTAAATGTAAATTTTAGTTTAGCATTTGATTTAAAATGTGCAAACGGTGTTTTTGGACTTTCAAGTCATTCTGGCAAATATGCTTGTCTTTATTGTGAAGGAGAATACTTTCTCGAAGCAGGAAAACTAAGAACATTGGGCTCCATAGACTTATGTCATGATCAATATGTATGCAAAGAAAAAAGGATAAAAATGCAGGAATGCAAAAACATTATAAATCCTAGTTTAATATACTTAAAAAAAGATCAAGAAACATTTCTTTAACACATTGTTCCTCCTCTTGAGCTCCACATTATGATGGGAGTTGTGGATAAACTTAGTATGGGAGTTGTGGATAAACTTTGTACCTTGCTTTTATGTATGGCCACCTTTTCAAAATTGGTTGAAAACACATTACATATTAATGAGAGTATGCCATGGAGTAGGCTTAGATGGAAACAATGCTAATAAATTTATGTCTTTGTTAGATGTTTTTGAGATGGATGTTACCTTAACTGCAGGGATTGATATTTGATATAATTGTTTGCGTAAGTTTTCATTAGTAAAATCAGTCGTGTTTAGTCTAGAAATGAGTACAGGTAGTTCTGTTAAAATTGAAGACTTCAAATGTTCTTTTTTTAGTCTCCAATTATATGCAAAGGATATTTTTGACAACGAGCTTAGGAAACTACACAGAACAATGTGGTAAAGTTGTTCATCACAAATTTAAAAAAACTTGGGTGAACTATAAAAGAACTAGAGAACACAAAAATTATGGAGAAAAGCTAAAATCTGCTGTAGTGAATTTTAATTTAAACAATCAGTAGCACTAATATATTTTGTGTTGTATATTTATTTGTTATATGTATTTGGAAAAAATTAATAAATGTTGATGGTTTATTTTGACTACCATAATGGCTGACTTTAATCAAACTAAGGAAGAAAAAAAGCAAAAAATTATAAGTTTTAATTTTGAAAAAATATGTACTTAGCACTTAATTCAGATTTTTCTGACAACTTAAGTTTACTAATGCATATGATTAAATAAATGCAAATTTCAACCTAGCAATCAATTTGGAGAACAGTGATGCAGGCACCCTAAGCACCCTAATAAAAAAAATGGAGTTTGGAGCTTAATGATTTCAGACATATTTTTGAGTTATCAGTAACCCAGATTTAAAGCAGTAGACCCTTTTTTAAACAAAGAAACTATTTATAAGATATTTTATCAGAAATTTGAGTAAAAATATACAAAACTTAAAATTAAAAAAAAATGTTATAATAAAAGCTTAATACAATCTTTATTAAGCTCAAACTCTTTATTATATCCCAAACTCCTTTTAGAGAACTAATTATGGATTTGAACAAAGCTCTCTAAGCTAATAAGTGATTTGAGCAGCACAATAATCTTTGCATAACACCGATCAAAAGTTGTTCTTAACTAAATAATGTAAACCACTAAATAAAAAATTTAAATGTGTGTTAATTTCGTTAGAGTATGCCATAAAAAGAGTGCTCGGTTATCATAAAAAACAAAGATGTAATAAATTAGTTTCCTGAGGATTCTATAGATAGTGAGGCTGTTCAAATCTTTTTTTTTTTTAATATATATTTATATATAGTAGTATACAACATTAAAGTAAATATCTTTTGAATAAATCACGATATTCCAAAAATGACAATAACAAAACAACAGTTTTGTTATTCTTTGCTTGTTGACAATTTTATGCATAACGATAGTTTTAAATTTATTTAAAAATAATTCATTTGTAATTAATGGCGGGAAAAGCTATGAGAAAATGAATGAAAAGATTAAATGAATAAAAAAATTACTTAAGATAAGAAAATGTTCTTAGTTACATACCACAATTTCATATAATAATTAAATAAGAACTTTAACATTTAAAGTTAACAAATGTAAAGAAAAAAAATGATTGCACATTTTGCTCATTAAAATCATTTTAAAAATTGCTAATGTTAATTTAAATAGAGTTAATAAAATTAGAGAGTAATAATTTTATTAATTTGCGCGAAGATTTTGTACTCAAACTTAACATTGAAATTAATTCCTTAATCTATTGAGTTCCTTTTTGATCCCAACACTCTACTGCATAGTTTAAAATTTGAAGCTCTTCATTCATTCAGTTTGCGGCAAAAACTTATGAGTAAACAAATAAAAAATTAAAAGACACATTTTTTTGAGATTAATGCAATTATTATATATTATTATATTATTATTAAAATAATCTATAACATACAATTATTATTATATACTTTATTAAATTAATAATAAAATAACAACTTCAATCATTTATAAAAAAATGATTTTCACCACCAATAAAATAAAAGTAATTTAAATAAGTGAAGAAAAGAATTATTAGATGTCATGTCTTATGTTATATTCGTTAGCGAAAGGAATTTAAATAACTTATTGTAAACAATAAGCCTAGTTTAAGCACTTTTTCAAAATTTTAATGATTGTATGATAATTTAGTACATGCTTTTACCAAATAATAATCTTATTATTTTTCAAATCTTGTTTTTCAAAACTCTGATTATTTTTTAACTGGTCAACTATGACCGGGAAGTAATCGTTTTGGAAGGTCAAAATAGCAATTTTACTCATTTTTAGCAATCATTGATCGTTGGCCAGCCGTTATTTTACACGCTGAGTTAATGTATTATACTAAAGATGAGAAAATTATAATATCAAATATTTTACATTAAGTTTAGTTGTAACACTTTGGCTCGATAATAATGTTTCCACGGTTATCAAAGGGCCGGGTTTGATAAAATATAGCCAGGGCCAGGTTTGTGATCAGGGCTGCATAAACATTTATACATTCTAAAATACATTTTTTTCTTCAAAATTTATGTTTGATTTTGTATGTATGCGTTTATAAACATCATTATGATCAACATGATCATTATTATCATTGTCATGATCATATTCATCTTCATCATAATTGTCGTCATCAATATTATTATTATCATCATCATCATTGCCATTTCCGTTCATATCATCATTTCATTGTCATTATTGTCATCATCATTATCATCATCATCATCAGCTGCTGATGATGATGACATCATCAGGCTTTAGCCTTCCTCTTTTATGCTGTTTCTCTAGTCATGGTCAATGCTCAAATTAGCTATCATCTCTATTAGAATAAACCAAAACTCATTTTTCAAGTTTTTCAAAACTCATTCAAGTTGCATCTTTTTACTGTATCTGTTTCTATTTATTAAATACTAGCATAAATATATGCCAGAATTTAATAAATAGTAAATGTAAGTATAAAATTATAATATATAAAGAATTATAAATTTATTTCTAGCCCCGGCTATCAACCCCTGCTAAATCTTATAATTTTGCCAGGGCCAGGGCTAAAAAAGCCCCAGCTAAAAATGAGACTTTTTGCAAATCCGTTTTGTTCTTTTGGAAATTTAATGTGCCATATCTACAATTTCTAATACTTCGGCAAGGTATGTTTTCACACTACCAGCAGAACGCAGTTCTACAAAGACAAATATACCTGGGGAAATAGTCTTAACTTTCAGATGGAAATAAAACCGCATTTACCTATGAAGACTATGGTTTTTTAACAATTTTTATCATTTCTGATTGGTTACAAATTGCTATAAAAGCACCATCAACATTAAAAAGATAAAGTGGTGGTGACAAATACCCTTGACTTTAACTTTATTTTTGAGAAGCATCTCATTGATCTCACTTTGGTAGTAATACACTCATTTGTAATTGAGATGATCTAAAAAAATGAATATTTAATAATTAAAAGTTTCATACTACAACTTTCATATTTAGATTTTTTCTCTCAATAATGACTTACATTAATTTTGGTATTTTTTGGTATTTACTTGCAATGCTCACAAAATCTTCCGAACTGCAACAATATAATTACCAGATTTTACAGTTGTCCAAACCATTCTTTCTTACCTTATTTCTCCACCTATGCCATCAACTGCCCTTTTTCCGTGTGATGTTGCAAAAAATAACCAACAAATCTCAACAAGAGCATATGACAATTTGTAAAAGTTATTCATGGCTGTCATAACATTAAAATTTTCGAATTGTAATAAAGGGCCATCTGCCAACCCACATTTCGCTTTATATTCCATAAACATGCAAAATTGGCTGTTTTGATTACACACAGATCTGTCAACTATGTCTGACGTTATATTAATTTTTTTTTGAAAAGGCATTTGTTAACAATCTGAAATTTTCATGGTAAGTGCAAAGGCAAACATTGTGGGGAAAATTGTTTACCAGCTTGACATAGAATGGTTGCAAATTGTAAAACTTAGATTTCCCCACTTTTAAATTAATATGTTCACTTTTAAAAAGTGAATATGCTTCTTCTATGGTCATCAGCATGTGATGAGTTTCAGGTATCCAATATTCTGGATGTTTCTTTCTAAATTTTTTCTGAACTATTGAATGCTTAACTTTGTCATTTTAATTCTAAATTCATTTAAGAAACTATTTTCAATCCAACTAAACTATACTCAAACTAATTAATAAGCAAATATGTGATTCTAACGTTTTAAAGCTAAAGAAACTAATTATCATGCACAGATGTTTCATTGTAATTTTTTAACTCTTCTTTTTCAAAATAATTAGATCTTTTAAATCATGTACAGAAATTCAAAATGCTGTTTACTTTGGCATATCATTTAAGATCTTCCAAGATACTTAGTTGCAATTTATGATAATAAAATATTAAAAAACATCAATATCTTTAAAAATTAAAAAATCTGGGCCATGAAATCAACTTTAAACATCATAAGCACATGTAATATGAATTTATTTTACTCACTGAAATGGAAATGCCTTTTTACTACTTAAGAACTATGAATAAGCATTTTATGTACACTTTGAGACATTCTGATTTATAGGCACAGGGAAACATAGAGCTCTACTGTTTTTTTCTTGACCTAGAGTGTTATCAGAGGTCATACTGGATGGCCTTTTTAAAAAAGGTAAATTAAACGCAAATTTATATATTTTTTGGCTACCTTCAAACCAAAGTTTATCCTTTTTTATAAGTCCAAACAGAATTACCTAAAAGTTATAAAATAATATCACCCTAATGTCCTTATGTAATACATATAATAATACTTAGTGAGAGATAAAATAGTCAAAAAGGAAGGTTTCATGTTATTTCTTGTACTTTCTAAAGAAAGGCTCTTTAAGATAAACAGGATGTATCAACTTACCTGGCAACCACCCTTGGTCTCCCCTGCCTAAAAAGTTTTCAATGGTGAGTTGTCACTAGGTTGTCATTATCTTGGTTCAAAATCTTATTTTTAGGGAAGCAATGTTAAGATAGCAACGTTGCAACGTTGTTATCTATTTCAATAGCCTTGCAGATTTTTCCAGTGTAGTTATTTGGGATGAAAGTCTTATGGAATAATGCCAATTAATTTTTCCTTTGTGATGAACTCCACTTTTCAGTTTACTCTATTCACATTTTTTTGTTGATCAGCTATTCGCATTCTAATTCATTTTTCTAGTTTTATCTACATAAAAAGTACAACATTTACATTTAAGTCAGTATACTCCTGGGTAACTCCTGGTGTTTAAAGGTAGCTTTAGGAAATCGCAATACCAATTTATTTATTTATTTATTATTATTTTTTTTATTTTACTTCACCTCCTCAAGGCCGAAAAGGCCACTACAGATGAGGAGGCTACTTATTTTGTGGCTATAACCCTCTCTCAACTCTATAACTCCGAAACACGAACCTTGATGAACAAGGCTGCTGCGCGGAGAAACGAGTTGAGCGCGGTACTACCAGGGACGTGGACCAGTAAATCAAATTGAAATGTATAATTTATTTTTATTACCAGTAATTAAGTTTGTCATTACCGGTAAAATCTGTAGAAATTATTATTAAAAAAATAAGAAACTATGGTCATCCATCCAATAAGATATTGCACTTATGGATAAAAATTAACCTTGGAATTATTTTGTATGAGTAGAAAATGGAAGCGCAGGTCAATGCAAGAAATGTTTAAAAACAGTTTACTACAAATAAATCATATATGCTTGTTTGTAGTAATTTTTCAGTTTGTTATTTAATTGAATTAATAATAATTTTTTATTTTATTTTTGACTTTTATTTACTCGTCTTTTATATCTTTAAGTGTTTTACAAAAAAAAAAGTCAAGTTTATTATCTATTTTTGTTTTAGAATTATTTTTATACTTTTTACAAGTGAGTTCTTTTTTTTTTAATTATGTTTTATAAGTGTTTTTTATGTTTTATCTCCTCAATCTTTTTTTAAAATGACTTCAGTTTCAAGTACCACAACTGCCCTCCTTGATTCGAATGATTGGTTCTAAAGATAATCCTATTATAAATACTGCTGTTTCTGGTCTTACTTTACTTCATTCAACTCAAACTTTTATGGAGCCTTATCAAGTACCCAGCGGAGGAGATTGGTCTGTTCATCCAAATGGCATGTTATTTTTAGAAGGAACCGTAAATGTTACTATTAGTAATTGCATATTCAATTCTCCTGGAGGAAATGGAATTTTTGTTAAGTAAGCAGCTTCTTTACTTTTCTATATGCTTCGGTAAACTTTATAAACTGCATTTTTTTTTTTAAAAAAAAAAAAGCAGTTTGTAAAGCTTGAAATGTTTCTCCAACAAACTGCAAATTGTTACTTAAGATGCAATCTGTAATTTTGTTTCAAAGTTTTTTTCAAAATATTTTTTTTGTCTTTTGAAAAATTTAAGAAACATTTGAGGGCTAAAATGGTTATAAAAAATCATAGTGAGATCATTTTTGTTTAAGAAACATCAAAAAGTGTGTTTTTTATATTAAATAAAAAGCGTGTTGAAAACAGTAGTTTGAATGATTTATATATTTAAGTATTAAATATACTATAAATATGTATAGATTTATAGAAATTTATGTTATGTAACTTATTTTTTCCAAGTAGTTACATGTGTGTTAACTAATTTTTCAGAGGTTTTCACAGAAATCTACAAATTTCTCAAAACACTATGTTTAACCTTGGTGACAATGGTATAGTACTTGTTGGTCAATCTAAGCTTATTGATGGAAGTGAAGGTTATCACCCTGATGGTACTAGAATTTACAAAAATATTATTTATGAAATTGGTATTTGGGGAAAGCAGGTAATATTTATCTATAACATTTTAATGTTTTGAAAATAAATTTTTGGTTTTTTGTTAATAGTTTTAAAATAATAAATATCAGAAAAAAAGAAAAAAGTTTTATTAAGTCAAAATAGTTTTTATATGAATTTCATTGGTTTCATAAACTTCTGTTGATGTTTAACAATTTGTACACTTCTGTTGAGGTTTAATAATTTGTACACTTCTGTTGAGGTTTAATAATTTGCACATTTCTGTTTCTGTTCAATAAGTTTTTTTTGGGTCATTTAAATAAATGTCTGCCACTTTAGACTTTGTAAGATTTTTGTTTGCAGCAAATGTGTCAAAGCACTTTTAAAATGGTTATCAGTTGGAGCCAGATCAGGAAAGTATGGTGGTTGAGGTAGTTGATTCAGTCTGTTTAAAATTTTATGCCAGCACATGCAAAAAATGCTAGCTGGATTGTCATTTTTAGGTCAGTCTGCGCAATTCAAAAAGTTCACCTTTTTCTGTCATATAAATTAGAAACAATGAAAATAATTCTTTGATTAAAAACTAAAAAATAATTAGTAAAAAAAATGGCAAAATGAACATCTTATTTAAATTCTAAATAAAATTATTAAAATAAGAATGGCAAAAAATAAAACAAAGTTTTTATAAAATATTAGACAAAGAAATTAAAATAAAAAAGTAAAAACATTTTACTTAAATTCTCGATAAAATAATTTTTAAAAAATCATTTAAATTCTAAATAAAATAGTTACATTAAAAACGGTTTAACAAATGTTTTATTCAATAAATAAAATAGTTAATAAATAAAAATGTTTTTACAATTTTCCATAAAAGTATTTGATGAAAAAAAAAAGATTTTGGCAAGTGCTTTTTTATGCACTCGCCAAAGTTTTTGTGGGCCTGTGGGCGAGCACAAAAAGACTTGAGCGCAAAAAGCACTGGTTAAACAGAGAAGATTGTTGATATGCAATTAAGCATAATTGTGAGACAGTAGGACCCTTTTTTTGAAAATTACAGCGTAAAGAATTAGCAGTTTTTTATGAAACATGTCAAGTTTGTGATGATATATGTTGTAGACTACCAAACTGTTATCATAGCCTTTTTTGGGTATAATCCTGGCTTTGATTTGTTTGTATACGTCATCTTGTATCATCGTTATACAAGATCTACTTCTTATCACAGGGCATAATGCTTTTTCCATTAACCCTTTGTTAGCTTTTTCCATTCACTTTCCATTTTCCATTTACCATTTGTTAAGGCAATATATTGTTTAAAATATACACGCTTTTTTTGACATTATCTACTGACTTGTTTATTGCTGTAAATTGGTTTTGCATTAAATTTAATGTTATTAAATGATTGTTATTTTTATCAAGATTCTGTTAGAAAAATTGTTTTAAATTATTCAACCATATAAAAGTAAAATTAACAACATTTATTTTTTAAACTTTTCATAAGGTACATATTCTCAAAAATATTTTTTTAGTAAAGAGAAATGTTTTACAGTCTATGTCATTGTTCAGCGCCAAGTTTTAAACAACTTATTTTAGGTGCTTTAACAATATCAAAGTTCAAATTTTCATAGATGACATCATTGTCATTTCATTTTTTTTATTCATACAGCTTTTCTTTTTTTTTTTAAGAGGTTTTTTTATTTGGAAAAGTTTATTTTGTTAATTTTAAACTAAATTAGTTAAATTTGTTATTAAATAAGTTATATTTGAACTAAATTAGCATTTTCTAATTAAAATTAAAAAACTTGTGTTTCTAATTAAAAATTGTAAAATATCATTTCAGTAGAAGAACAAAAATAATGTATTACATATATTATATATATATATATATATATATATATATATATATATATATATATATATATATATATATATATATATAAATTTATTATATATATATATATATGTATATATATATATATATATATATATATATATATATATATATATATATATATATATATATATATATATAAATTTATTATATATATATATATATGTATATATATATATATATATATATATATATATATATATATATATATATATATATATATATATATATATATATATATATATATATATATATATAATATATATATATATATATATATAATATATATATATATATATATATATAAAAATTTAGAATTTTGAACATTAAAGTATCAAATAATAATAAATAGATTTTAAATATTTTATATTTAGTCATATTCTTTTGTTCAATCTGTTTCAAGAGGAACAATAATTGATTCAAATGTATTTTTTAATGGTCCACGAGCTGGAATAAATATTAATGATGGATTTGGAGGTGGCAATATGATACAAAACAATTTGCTTTTCAATTTTGTCAGAGGTTAATATTTTAGGTGTTTGTTTTAATTTATAGAAAAAAAAAGTAAAAAATGATATATATATATATATATATATATATATATATATATATATATATATATATATATATATATATATATATATATATATATATATATATACAAATAGTATTGCGTACTAAGGTAAGCAATCTGACATCATACTGAAATAGCCTGCTGCTGGGGGTTTCAGTACATACATTGGCTGACAAATAGCCTGACTCGCAATGGAGTGTACACATACTAGTTTAAGCTACCCAGGAAATGTACACATTTCCTGGGTAGCTTAAACTAGGAAAAAATAATCATTTTGTGACTTTTAAATCCGGAAACCTTTTGAGTACTCTGCAACCCTGGTTATAATTGTATTGATATTGTTAATAATAATAATGATGGCGATGAAAAAAAAAAAAATAATAATATTGAAAATAATAGTAGCAGTTATAATTATGAAAATAGTAATATTAATAATGAAAATGATCTTAAATAATAATACGAATTCTAATAATAATACAAATGACAATAGGTTTTTTTGAGTTAATTTATTCAGTCTATGCCATTATATATCTTAGAATTTTGCTTCTTATGAAATTAAGGGGACCTAATAAAATAAGAATTACACGAATTTTCAGCCTCTAACTCTAAGCAGATCATAAAATTTGGCTTAATCCTGTCAACTTATGTCAACCATGCGGTAGTGATGTAGTGGTATAAGCAAGAAGTTTTGGGAGTTCAATCTCTACCACTTCCCTGGTAGTATCATACTTACCTTGTTAATCAGCACAGTAGCTTTGTTCGTTAAAGTTGTATTTTGGAATTATAGCATTAAGGGAGGCTTGTAACCACAATTATAGTAGCCTCCTCAACTGTAGTGGCTTTCTTTTCTTTTAGGAAAGTGAATTAACATGAAAATAAAAAACTCAAGTTATAAAGTACAGATTCAGCAAAGTACTGGGCTTTTTAACAGTATAATTAAGAAAAATTAGATTAACTCATAATAAAACTAGCTCTATTAGAATAATGGAGCCAGACTTTTAGCAGAAGTTTGTTGAAGCTGGAAAAAAGCTGAATGACCACTTTAATGTGACAAGCCTAATGTTGCCTGATAAATTGCCTAAAATGCCAATTTGATGCACCAAGTTGTTTACTGTCATGGTCTAAACAACCTGTGTAACCTGTGTCATAACACACCAGAACCTATTCAAATGTCAAAGGTCCTCTTGACTTGATAAAAGTTCAAGAAAAATGTCCAATTAACTTTATCATCATTTCTTGTGACATGAAACTTGAAAACATTATGTATAGCCTAGAGTCCCACAGCAGTAAGTGTTTGTTGTGTGAAGTTGAAACTTTAAAGCATTTAAGTTGTTATGCGAGGGTTGAAGCTTTAAAACTCTTTAACAGTGGTCAACCTAAAATCTTTGATAAAATAAACATCTACAAAAATTTCATAAGTTCTGAGGGAGAAATCAAAATTCAAAAAACTTCAAGAATTTTATTCATTTGACATTGCTTGAGTTACTTGACAACAATCTTGTGTTTGAAGCTATTTCTCCAATGGAGCTATATTTATGCTGTTTAGGGTAGGTACCAATTACCTGGTAAAAAAATATATTTTGATCTTAAGCCAGCAGTCAAGTAATGGCCAGCATTGCTGCGCATTTGAATTCGACCATATTGTGGAATACATTTTAATGGTAATGATTGTATGAATATTTTAAAAGGATTAGACCCATGATGAATCTCTCTGAAAAAGCTTGTTTCTTCCAATCTACTATATTCATCCTTGTTTCCTTAATCTACATTCTTCACCCTTGCTTTGTTTCCTTAATCTACTTTCTCCACCCTTGCAAAGATGTTGTTTTGCCAATTTGGATTCTGATTTTGAAAAAAAGATAAGACTTTCAAACAAGCTACATTAATGTAGTTTTGCTAAGACATTTCTCATATTTGTCTGACTCACACCAAAACTACATGCTGCCTTTCATACACCACAATTTATTGACAAAAAGAAACAACCTTGGTCTATTTAGTGAACAAATAGCAGAAGTTTTTCATTCAAATTTCAAACCACACTGGATACATAAAATTTCAAACCACACTGGATACATAAAATTTCAAGCCACACTGGATACATAAAATTTCAAACCACACTGGATACATAAAACTTACTTCTCATGATTATTCAAAACAGCTTCATTTACAACAAATTACAACATTAAGAAATATTAATAAGAATGGTAATGAATAAAGCTAATTTTATTATTTAATAAACCAAAAATTGTTCATTTTGCTATGTTTTTTATATTCAGAGTAACTTGAACTAGAAACAAAAGATTGATTTTATTTGGTTCATTTTTTCTCTCAAAAGCTATAAGATTTCATTTAACTTGCAATAAAATGTTTCAGTGGAAAGAAAAAATGCATCAGCTCAAGGAATGAAGATAATCGCAAAAATCAGCCTAAAGATAGAAGCAAAAAGTACAATTATTGAAGAAGAAGTATGAGATTTTAGTGATATTATTTCATGATATTGTAGCATGGTCAAGCAGAACAAGGAGAAGCTGAGCACTAGTTAGTGACAGAGACAAGATTATTTGATGAAGAGATCTGTTAATGAAATCAAAATATGAAGAGCACATTTTAAGTATATGATGTTAAGTAAGAAATGAAATTGGTCAGGACACAAGTATTAATAGTTTATGTGATGACCTAGACAATCTAATTGCAGAAATGAAAGAAAGGTTAGTTGTTTTTTGACAGAAATGAAAGAAAAGTTGTTTTTGACAGAAATAAAAGAAAAGTTGTTTTTGACCAAAATGAAAGAAAAGTTGTTTTTGACAAAAATGAAAGAAAAGTTGTTTTTGAGAGAAATGAAAGAAAGGTTGCTTTTGACAAAAAAACGATGTTGAATTTACTAGGCAAATTCCTGGCAAAAAAGATCACAAGTGTTAGTAAAATCCAACACATGCAAAAGCGTCTAGTTTTATTTTAAATAATGCATTATATTAAAGAATTTTTTTTTTTTAAATGAAATATCCTCAAGAAGTTGTTAAGTCAAGAGGTTGTAAATATCCTCAAGAGGTTGAAGCATCAGCAATTCTCTTTGTTTATATATGTATCCACCATTAAAATACAATGCTATTAACCATTTTTTTTAAATAAATTTTAGCTTTTTTAAATTTTAGATTTTTAGGTGATTATAGTTGATGTGTACATTTTAATGGTGATTACAGTTATTGTGTATATTTAATTGGTGATAATAGTTGATTTGTACATTTGATTGGTGAATATAGTTGATGTGTACATTTGATTTGTTATTATAGCTGGTGTGTTCATTTGATTGGTGTTCATTTGATTGGTGATTATAGTTGATTTGTACATTTGACATAAAACAATGTGTGACAATTCTTTAGTTGATATCATTTAGTGCATACAAATTAAGTGTATAAAAATGACTTAAAATTATATATATTGATAAATGTCATTGGCTTCTTGTCAAGTAGTTATTAGAGACGGAAATTTTCATGAAATTTTTATTTTGTTCAATCTACTTGTTTAATCTAATTGTATAAAAACAGGTAAAAACTAAACTTTAAACTTTCTGAATCATTTGGAATTACCCAATAATAGTAAGAATAATTATAGCAACAGTCATTGTTGCTTAGCAGTCATTTTTGAAAGTCATGAAAGTAATTTAAAAAATTATTAAAAATAAACTAAAAATATATATGCTTATTATAGAAACTGATGATCATGGTCCAATTAATACATGGGATCGCGTACCATATCTTACTCGCAATGATGGCCGCTTGTCAATGGGTGTAAAATTAAATCATATCTATAAAAACTTTCTTGTGAATAATTACCGATCAGTATGGCCTATTGATCATGACGATGGTTCTAGCTATTGGTTTGATAGTTTCAATTTCTTAGTCTATGGAGGTAATGATTAATATCTGATTTTATTGTGTAAAATATTTAATTATATATACAGAGTTTCTTTTCAAGTATAAATATTTTTTTTACTATTAAGGCTATTACAGTGACATAAAAAGAGTTTTAATTAGGGAAAAGGAAATGTTACAATTAAAATTTAAAAAAAATTAACAGATGCTTTTATGCAATAGTATTGATATAAAAATTTTAAATGGAAAAAATCTAAATAAAGTTTGCATAGTATTTCAACTCTTTAAAACAGTTTGTTATCTTTATATACCAGAACTGATACCATATTGCAGATTTTACATGATGGCTAAATCTACAGGAATTTTTTTTTTAATTGATGTGTTTATATATTAATTTTTTAAATTAGCTTCCAATACAGGACAAAGACTTTTAAATTTCTTGAGTTAATTATAATCTTTCAGGGTGTTAATAATCATAATCTTTCAGGGTGTTTTAGGTTTGAATTCCTTATTCAGGGATTATCTTTTTCTGGATATTTCCGGAATACGGATATTTCTATAAATTTTTATTTTTTGTATATTATATCCAAATAGATTTCTGGAAATAGAAGTTAAAAATATCTTTTTGTTATCATATAATTAAAACAGTAAAGGTATCGTTCATCAATTACTATATGCTATATTTTTCTTAGATGAGGTATTATTTGTACAAATAAATTTTTCTTATTTGTATGCATATATTTACTATTATAAGGTAATTCCTCAGCTTTACGTGAATAAAAATTTGAGCAAAATCCCTAAAATTTTATTTACGTAAAGCTGAGCAATTACTCCAGTAAAAGCAATTGCTTTTTTTTATTCAGCCGGTCTTTTAAAAAGTTTAAGTATGTATTTAAATTATAAAGTAAGTTTTGCAGCGTTAATTAAAACCTAAACTCGAGTTTATAACTTGAGTTTTATATTTATTCTTATTAATTATTTGATAAGCTTTTTTGTTTGACGTCATTTATTAACTACAATAGCGTTTATCAAAAAGCACTCAGAGATCACTTTAATTATTTTTGGCTATAATTCTTGTTATTTTAATTTATAAACTCTATTTAAGTAAGAGTTAAAATACTTTTCTTTTATATAGAAGAATGCCTGGCAAAAATTTTCAAACTCATGAGATATTCTTAAATAAACAAAAAGCATTTTTAATCACCAATTTTTCCGCAAATGTCTTCAATATATTTTTCCGGATATTATAAGGAAAAAATTTTCTGGATATTTTAAATATAACCAGGATAATCTATACTTATCGCTCTAGTGGTAGATTACTTACGAAGCAAGCACTCTGCATGCTAAAATATTTGTTTATTTGCGTATAACTTATGAGATTCTAATGTGTTTGGGTATGGAGAATTCAGTTCTGATAGTTTTGGTTTTGAAAAATGTTTAAATTTAGCTGCATGGGAGTCAAAGTTACGGCATCTTTTTTAATTAAAATTAAATTAAAATCTTTTAAACTATTATTTGTTTAGACTAAAACACTAAAAAACTAAAAATGGTAGACTAAAAAAAACCACATGTAGTACAACTGATAAAATTATCTTTGACCTAGATGTCAATGATGCATAAGAACAGCTGATTTTAATTTAAATCCTGAACAGATACTTTTTATAGCGAGCGTTTTATTCGAATGGTTACTTTATTCTACCATAATGTTTATCAATCTGATTTTTGTAAAAAAAATAATTGTACATAGTATAGAATAAAATTTAAAAAATCATAAAAAAAGTTAATTCCTTTTAAAAAATGGCATAAATGTATAGAATAAATGTTTATTGTACAATGTTTACTGTACAATTTGTATAAAAAACGTATGATATGTTTATAATATCAAAACAGAAATAGAGATTATTAACAATAAGATGTTTACTCTTTGTAGGTTTTAAAGATTATCTTGGCCATGATCTGCATTCTCAGAATAACATTTATGTTTATCCAAAAGATGGAAATTGTGTTTTAACTATCGGCCAAATTAAATGTAAGCGTTTTATCATAAATATTATTTATATAACATATTTATAGAATAATAATATGTAAAAATAAAGTTTATAATATATTTATTAATAAAAACATATATATATATATATATATATATATATATATATATATATATATATATATATATATATATAACTTTTAATTTAATTACAACATTTAATTTTTTTCCTAAATCAATTAGCGTGTAGTGTGAACTTTTTAGATGTTACCGGTTATAATGATACTTTTTCATCCAACATCTGCGTCACTCAGAATACTCAGATTTCTAATTTGGGTAGTTGTAACCAAAAGGATATCTTCGCGTTAATTCCTTTGTTTGCAGAAAACATTTATTATACTCCGTCTGGTGCAATTCAAGTCAATTGTGGGGGTAGCATATGGAATTTGACTACACTTCAGCAACAAGGAATGGAAAAAGGATCTATATCACAAATCCTGCCTTCTGACTTTGAAATTGTAAATTGGGGAAAAGAGTTATTTAGCTTATAAGTGATTATTTTATGTTTGTACTTTGTAAATGATTATTGTATAATAGTTCAAGTTTCTGTTTGAAGTTATTCACAAAAAGTATGTTGTTTTTTAAGTCAAGCTTGTATGTAAATTATTTAAACTTTTCTACTTTTAGTCTTTTTCTACTATTAGCCTTTTTAGTAAACACACTTTAGTAAAACTTATTTCGTATAGTAATATACTATTTATATATTAAAGGAAGTTGCAAAAAAACTTTTTACTTTTTATTATTTTAATTTTGAAATATTAATAGCTCTTCTACACGTATGGAATACGCAGTTTAGAAAAACTATTAGAAAAATGCTAGGAAATATCAAAAAAGGTAATACTAAACTGTTGCTTTTAAGCTAAGCAGCCATACTTAAATATAATTTTAAGTTATATCATATTATTAGGTTATATTATTAAAATTAAAATGTTAAACTTTCATTGAAATTCACTGTAATTTATTTTTTACATGTTTTTATTCATGTTTTTTATTGAACGAGCACACTTATTTTTTAAAAGTAAACGCTTTGTTCACTTATTTTACTTAATCGTTGTTTTTAAAACGAGATATGTACTTTTATAACTATTCTGTAAAGTATCTACATTTTGTAAAATATGCTTATTAAAAAAAATAATTTATTTTATTTCTATAAAATGCTAGCATAGTTACCCGGTTTTGCTAGGTATTAAAAAACTTATTTAAAAAGCAACAAGAGAGTTTGAATCTAACCCTTGTTCATTTCCCGTAACCAGTGGTGATTCCACGAATACGGGGGGAGTAGAGTGAATCTCGACTACCCGAGTAAATTCGACTATAATTTCAAAATCACCTTCTTTGGGGGGGGGGGGGGGAGGTTCACCCCTGTAAAATTGCCTCTGTCCGTAACACTTAATCGTCATTATAATAAATGAAGAAATAGGCTTATAAATAAAATAGCACTTAACATTGAAAAAATAAAACAGATGGAAGTTAAACCGCATTTAAATGTTTTGGGACTATTCTTGTTTCGTAAACAAAAAGAAAACGGCATACTTAAACGCCTAATCTTTATACGTTTACGCACGCCAAGTGTACGTTTATAATTATTTAAAAAATATAGTATTATGTCGGTTCACCAATAATATTCAAATATAAACATTAAAAATGGCGACAACGAAACGGTAAATAACAACTATTTCCTAAACTTCATACAAAATGGAGTATTACAAGAATGAATTATGAAATACAACTGGTATTTTATATTTTATCAATTTTTAAAAAATCAAAAAAAATGTTTTTTAAATTACTGAAACTTAAAGTTCCATTAGTAACTGATGAAACTTTAAACTTATTACAGTATTTAGGTAAACAATGTTTTTGATTTTTTTTTCACAAAAATATTTATCACTATTCATCACTTATTAAATCTTACTTTCAAAAAATCTTTTATGGACAATTATTAACATAATATACTTCACGATCTTTTTCCTTAATAAAATTGAATTTTGAAATTTTTCAACGAACGTCATTAATGTTAATTTGTTAATGTTCGATTAACAAAAGATTGCGTAACTTCTGATTTGAATAAAGTTCTCATTAGTTCAATTTTAAATAATATTTTCTAGAACTTTATTTAATTATGTGTTAAATACCCGATAAGTGATCAAAAGGAACAATAGTTACATTTTCATTCAGTTGATTCATTTTCCATCTCCAAAAAGTTGCATTTGTGGTTAATTTTATATTTCCGTTAACTTTATTAAAAAAAAAAAACTAAATTTAAAAACGGATATCTCTAGTAAGTTTAATCTGGCAGTAAACTTTAAATCAACTTATAAAATTTGTAGAGGTATACTTGTCACACCTCAGCATTTAACATCTCCACGTTCACATAAAAAGTAAGCACAAAGACATTAACAAACAGTTTGAGAAGAAAAGGAGAGTTGTTGCAGAAGAGCTTGCTTGTACAACAAAAAGATCCAATAGTGGTGTTTATCTTTCTATTCCAACAATTACAAAATTCATAGTACAAAAAGAAAGTTTATGGGGACAATAATACACAACAAGTCAGATTTGACTACAATCTGACAGCTATGCATTCCAGAACTGACACTCCATTCAATATTGCCTCCACTACAGGTTTTTTTGATTTCATCAAGTCATTTTATTTTCGCATTTCATTACCAAACAGTTTTACAAAATAGAAAATTCTATTTATGTTTTAATTTTTTGTAACATTTTCAGATGGTGCGTCAGCGACAGAGGTGCAAATATCATTTGGCAGTTAAAAAAAGCTTGCAGTTGCAAACAGATGTAATATGTGCCGATCACACTTTGCACTTGATAGTGACAAAAAGCATTGCTAACGTGAAACTGATCAAAGAGTCAGTTGAAAAATATGGTGAATTGGCTGCTCATCTGCACTGAAGCACATTGTCAAGTACAAACTCAAAAAACCCTATGCTGATTTAAAATTCACATACAAAAAGGTTATTTTACGTTGAAAGACTACACTGCGCGACATAATGAACTACAATGCTACGTGGTCCTTTGCAAAAGTTATTCGATCATTTATGTGTTTTGTTGTCAAAGATGCTTTTTGCTGAAGTTTTTTGCGCGAAAGGTGGAAAGCATTATGAATAACTCGCTGAATTGAACGTAAATTAGCAATCACACCTGCTTTTGCACCAGTTCGACGTGCAGTTAATGAATAGTTTCAACCCTTTGTTAACAACCTTTGTCTACCACGGTCAGTTAATATTGATGGACGTCTGGGACTTTTTTTTACTCCATAGATATGAGGACTATTAATGTAGTTTTTTATCTTAATTTGGCTGCGTCCAATAGCTCTAACCATGTAACTAACGAAGTGACCCATTTTCGATAAGTTAGAGTACTTAAAAACGTTTTCTGTAATTTTGTCTTTAATTTTGTTGCACTGAAAAGGTTTTTTTTTATAAAATGCTAGTTACGTTTAAAATAAATTTGTTAAAATGTTGTTTAGTGTTGTAAACCCTTTGCTTTCATTTACAATAAAAATTAGTTTTTAAATATGAATGTATAATAAAGTTTTTTAAATATTTTTGGCGTGTTTTATCATTATGTCGCCAGTGAAGATGAAACAGTCAGTTTTTGAGTGTAAATTCAGTCCTTGACATCCGGGAGGATCTTGAAATGTTTGTCTAAGAAGGACACCTATTTGAGGACAAAAGTTCCATAATTTTTCTGTCTAAATTTCTGCTGACAAAACACCCACAAACCATCAAATGATCCCAGGAATCAATTTGCACGGTTAGTTTTGATCTTAAATTTCAAATCACAATAACTGGTTTGTTTTATATTTTCATGAACTTGAAATTAGATATGTATTATATTTAAAGCTAAATTAACTTTTCATTCACGTTTGTTTTTCATTATTATGTGTTTACTTGTTTACTATTTTTATGCTTACAGCTATATACCTGACTTGCTGACCAAACTAATAACGAATACATGAAACAGTTAGCAACAGCTATGGATGAGCAAATTGCAATATACTATAAAAAAGATGGTAGGGAGAACACCATCTATGCAATTGCTCACATACTAGACCCAGTCTATTAAGGCAAACTCTTTAAAACAAACCATGGTAGATATGAAATTATCAAAACATGCATCCAAATTGAACATTATCAAGACTCATCTGCTAAGGAAATTGATTCACTTTTACTTCTAAAGCGAGCACCTACTAATATTCTAGATTCGGATAAGATTGACTTCTCCTGCCAAACTCTGGCTACACTTACTCAGGATCTTAGTTAAAATCGAAATCCATAAACACTTCTGATATTCAAGGAGAACTAGAAAAATATCTTTCATCTCCATTGGTAGCAAAAGAAACTGATGTTTTACAGAGGTGGAAGAGCATGGCACCAGAATATCTAGAGCTGGTATCCGTTGTCAAGAAAATGCATCCCATTCCAGGTTCATCAGCTTCTTCAGAAGGAGTTTTTTCTGTAGCTGGGCAAGTTATCACTTGGGCCCGGACCAAGTTTAACAGCAACAATGTAGAAAAGCTTGTCTACATTACATAGAACTATCCTAACGTGCAAAAAAAAAAAAAAAATTTAAGATAACGTCTTTAAACATTATTAAAGCATGTTAATTTGGCTAATGCATGATAAGTTTAGCTAATGCAAGATAATGTGTAATAAAGCAGCAGTGGCGCAGTGGTTAGAGTTCTGGCTCAGATTCTAGAGGTCTGAGATTCGACGCCGGCTCTAGCAACAATAATTTGAAAGGAGGAGTGAACTCCCTAGTTTTTATTTGTGGTACCGCACTTGCTTCAGAATTAAAGGATCCGTGGTTCAAACCCACCTCTGGGCAAGTTTTGCGACATCGGTTAGGAAGGAGGCGTGAACTTCCAATTAAATGCTCATGCGCGGTGCTCTGTGATAAGACCGAAAGAACTTCTTAGGGCACCTAAAAAAAAAATTAATAAAAAAAATTAAAAAAAAAATTAAAAAAAAAATAAAAAAATAAATTAAAATTCAATTTTCTGACAAAATTAAACACTTTGTAATTATGGTCCGTACCTCTGAACAACTCAATTGCTATATACGTTAATAAAGCTAAGTTGAGAATAAAGAACTTTGAGTTTTTTATTTCAATTAATTTGTCTAAGATACAATTTATAAATTTATAGAGCCCTGGAAAGAAACTAATTTGTTTGTTTGGTATTTAATGTACTTCAAGAAGACCTAGCTATCTTGTTGCAAATATGACCAGAGCTAGCATTAAAAGTCGACCTTTCCATTCTAAAGCAAGCGATGTAATCACCATAACAACAATTTCATGATAATAGAGGTCATTGCGGGTTTAAGTGTTTTTAAAATAATCTCATGATTTTTTGGGAGTTTTTTTGAGAGGTAGTCGTTGTTTGGGAGATTGGCTTATATATTTTTAATAAGATCTCACTTTGAATATTCTAACTCCGTTTTTTTATATATACGGCATCAATCCAATTAAATTGAGTTGATGCTTTTACTCTTGTTATTTAAAACTGTTTTAAAACTGCGCCTGTTAATAGATGAAGAAAAAAAAGAAGTTACTAAAACAACCTAGTTTATTCAATTTTTTTGATGTTTTAAAAATTCAGTGGTTTGATTGCTTGCTTTAAAAATGAGGAATCAAGAGTTCGGAACTCTGGAAGTATTTTGCGTCATGGGTAAAGAGGCAGGTCTGAACTTCCTAGTTCATGCTTTGTTAACAGTGCTCTGTGACAAGAATCTTAGTTTTTCTTGCTGTATTTAAAATAAAACTGCTGTATAAAAAATAATTTAGCAAGTAATTTAAAACACACCTTTTTATGACTTATTTAGATTTAAATCTAGTGGGTAAAAAAAACTAGTGAATCAATTTTCAAATTATAATTAGTCTGAGACCATTTGATATAATTATTGATTTAACTGAAAAACTAGAAGAGCGGTAGAAAGATATAATTTAAACTGTTAAAAGATAAATGAGCATTATAACGCCGTTAAAAAGAATTTTAACGGCGTTAAATGCTCATTTGTTTATTAAATGACGTTTTAGCGCCCGCTTAGGTTGTGTTTAGATCATATCCCATTCGGAACGATTATTTTTATTTGCGTATTTATAATAGCAAGATAGATAAAAGATTAAAAAGCAAGCAAGATAAAAACAATTGTAAATATTTAGTTTTCTAAATGACCCTGAAGCATTATTAAATTTACCTTACACTTAAATATTTTTATTAAATACGTTCTATTTAATAAAAATATAGAATAACAATGAGCAATGCTTAAAAATGTTTTAAGTACCAAAAATGCACTATATACTGCTTAAAATAACGGTCTCTAATTTTAAATAATTTTTTTTAGGGTAAAACCATCAATTCCTGGCCGCCTAATTTTAAACTGCGTCATATGTTACCGCGAATGGCTTCGATCTTAAGATAAAAGTTATGACAAGTTTGATAAATTTTGTTAACAAATTAGTAATAATAATTTTTAGTACAAATATTACTAGGCGTAAAAAACACCAAATCATGGCCAGAGATACAAAACATGGCCATTGCGAACTTATTCCTGGCCATTATGTTTTACGAAGTAAAAGTAGTGATAACATTTTTAATTTTAAATAAAAATAAAAACAAACTTATTGTAAAGAGTTTAATAAAGAAATTCTGCATAAATTTTTACTTTTATAAACTTCTTTTTTAAAAAGGTAAACAAACAATAGATTTTAAAGCTTACTAAAATTTTCAAACTCAGATAAAATAACGTTGCGTAAATCTTATGTAACAAGCTGAGGTTCCAATTATAAAAGTTGGATTATACTTTCATTTTTAAAAACTTGGAAAGCCACTAACTCAATATTTAAGGCAAAAAACTTCTTTTTTTGTGGCCAAGATTTCGTGGTGGCTATATATAGGTGGTTTTATTATAACGAATATTTTCTATTTGAATGTTTACACAATTTTTTTAGCTTGTATTTCATTAGAAAATATTCATTTCAAGTATTATTTTAAAAATATTATTAGAACTTTTTTTTGTGTTATGAGTTAAAAAACTGCTTTTAACTCATAACGTTCTGAATTTGACATCAATACCGCTTAAGCGAGTAGGACATCTAGCTTGGACATCTGGCACTCGAGAAATGTTGTCCCTTAGGCCCCTATTTCTGCGCGCCTGGTTATTACACAGTTATGTTTATAATTTTATATAATAAAGTTATATAATCATACAAATTTTTTTTATAATTTTTTTCAATTTAAAATATTTATTGACATCTAGAGCACTTCCAATGATTGCCATAATTCTTATTTTTGAATATATTTGTTGGTATGTTTTGGCATCTTTTATGGAACCATTCACTGTAATTTAAGCACTGTGCCATGAAGAGGTCTTTGTCTGTCTCGACATCAGAATCAAAGAAAGACATTCTACATGAACAGAAAATATCTTGAAGGACTATTTTTTGTCTTCCTCGTTTAATTCGTTTACTAAACGAAGCTTGTGGAAAAGTACTCATTAAATTTTGTCGAAAACAATCAACTAGATGTGCCCGCATTTTAGTAAGGTCATAGTTAGAATCAACTGGATTTATTCCAAAGAGAATATCTGTTGCATATGCTATTACAAATAGCATAGCAAGCCGCAATCTGAAACATTTTGTTGTTGTTGTGTATGCTCAATTAAAATACATAGTATGGATTCATTGCAGTTTACAACATGACAAATTTGTTTAATTGAGGTATGGTGTAAAGGATTACTAGATAAGGAGTCAAAAACTTTAATATTATTTGATGTTTCTGTCGCAAATGTTAACCGATGGTTGTTACTGTAGATTATTTGTATCTTGCTTGACTTTAGTTTGGACATTTTAAGCAAAGGAACCAACCCAGTATCTTCCAAGCCTTCCGCAAAATGAAATTGCTTGTGGAGCAAAAATTGAGCATGGTTAATTTCATTACAGGTTAACCAATCACCACTTTGTATTACTTTTTCCATATTGGAGTCGAATATTGAATGAAATCGATAAAACTTAAGTTCTTCCGGTCTCCCTTTTTTTAATTGAGTAATTACCAACTCTTCTTTTCCAGTTTTCATCTTATCTTCAACATGCTGTTTTTCTTCTTCGTAAATTTCAATGATGACGTCCTCTTGATCAGAGGAGTCAGTATTGAGCTCCAGATTTGCTCTGTAACATTGTTTCATCATTTCAGCTGTCTGCCCACACCTTCCACTAAATGGATGCTTCCTTTATCTGGCGAATAAATTTTTAGAAGACAAATTACTTTTTGGTTTTAAAATAGATTTCGATGTTAAACTGGTTTTTGATTTGAATTTTTTTATAGAGGAGTCCCTTTTTATTAATCCTGATGGTTGACTAAGAATTTTTAATATTAATGCTGTAATGGTATCTAAGTCTGTGTTCATATGATCCAAAATAATTTCATCTTTAACAAGATATGTTAAATCCATTAATCTTTTTAATTTAGAGCGCAAATCGATTTGATAACATTTTGAAATTGGTTGGCGTGTTTTGAAGTCATACGCGTAATGCTTGTTAATTAATTGTTTACTCTTATCTTTATTATCAAAATTGTTGATTTTTAAGTCAAAAATATTGTTGTCATTAGAAATACTAATTAGTTCATCGTCTATCTGCTGTTCGTTTTTGTTCTCAGTTGGTTTTGTATTACATTGAGTTTCTTTCTTTGACGAGTTAACAAAAATTTCGGGATCCAGAACGGACCAACTATGATTGAGAAACTTGGTAGTAAGATTTTCAAATGTTGACATTCCAGATTTAAATACGGCAAAAAAATGTTTACAAATTAATCGATGACGACGATAATCTGAACACGAACAGGAACAAAACTCAAAAGAACGGCACTCCATTATTATATTTTTTATAACCTTCACCTTTTTATAACTGTACCTTACGTTCAACTCCACGTATTTACAATAATGCTTTGGTATGAAGTTTTCAATTAATTTTAACGGCGTTAAATGCTCATTTGTTTATTAAATGACGTTTTAGCGCCCGCTTATATGCATCCGAGTACTTAGTAAATAAATCAATTTTATTTATATTTAATTTATTGTAAACTAAAATTATTAAGTAAGGTCGGAAAGATTCAGCATTATCAATTTTTTACATTTTTGCTCTATCATGTACACAACAAAAACACTTAGATTGTTTCGATTTCAAGGCTCTGAAAAGGTAATAATAAAAAATGTGTCATTAATTTCAGCTTATAAATAATTTGTAATTAAATAATTGAGTGCAAATAAGTGGAACTAACTTTGTTGGTAGAACTTTCTAACTATCTATTCCTTTTTTTTTTATTAAACACTAATTTATTCAAATATATATATATATATATATATATATATATATATATATATATATATATATATATATATATATATATATATATATATATATATATATATATATATATGTGTGTGTGTGTGTGTGATGCTAATTCTACTCGAGCGTTTATGTTATTCAAGAAATCAATGGTTTGTCTTCCTGGCTGGATGCCATGAACAATGTTTTCTAGTAGAATAACTACAATTTATTTCGTAAAATCTTTAATTTTTTTATTTAAATAAACAGATATCAAACAGGGTTTTTTGTTGCTTAGTATCACAAGCTTTTTCTCCTGAGGTTATGGTGTTTTGTGTGGTCTTCCTTATTACTTTTAAGTTTTTGTGGATCCTGGAAGTTTATATCTTTTTATAGTTTGTCCACCAGCAGACTTACTAACTCTATAAACTGTGCTATCTTATGAAACAATTTTCCATTTGAACTTATTTCTAAGGATTACAATCCCAAAGGTCTTTCTCAATCCCGGGATTCTAGCATTGATAAACAGATATAACATCTACATAGTGTAAATTAGATAAAAACAGTACATTTTTAACCAAAAATATATTTATTAAATGAAGGCAGTTTACATTATATTGTTATATGCATAGAAAAAAAACAACATGAATAACCATATTCTTAGTAGTTGCCACGTGTATTACCATTAAACACAAGCGATTTTCACCTTTTTTTTCAAAAATCAATTGCTTCAAGTGAGAGTATATTTGAAAGTTGTAAGTCTTCTCAATTCTATCTTATTTTAATTTAATTTTTAATTTTGATTTTAATTGCTGCAATTATGGATTTATATAGACAGTTTACAAAAAACAATTCATATATTTTTATTTTTGAGGTAGAAAAAAAAACATTCATCTTTTTAGCTTGAAAACTTTAACTTTATGCAGAAGGAACAAATAAACCGCTGGAATGTTCTAGTTTTTTTTTACATTTACTTATTTTTAATGACACATTTCTTTGTAATCTTACACAAAAAAAAAGGTGACTTTAAAGCGGTTTATTTATGTTGAAGTTAGATTTAGATTTTTTTTATTTGTGAAATAACTCTTATTTTCTTATTGACTAACTATTTCAGCTTGAAGCAACTATATACCAAAAATTGCTGGTACCTAACCACCATTTTCAAATAGTGTCATTTTTTATTTTTATTTTTGATAATGTCTCATGTCTAACTGGTTGCATTGGTGATTGTCCTTCTTTAACAACATGATCAAATTTCTATTATATACTTAAAGAATTTATGACAGACTCAGGTACCATTTCATGTTCCTTAGTCAAATCCAGCATATCAGACTCAATTGTTGCTCTTACTAGAGCAGGATTGGAAACGTTTAATCTTTCGACAACAAAGTGCTTCAACCTTGCTTTAATGGCAACTAATTTTGTGATAATCTCTGACAATATATTCACTTAATCATGTGACAATATAAATCAAGCTATAGAATTATCTGGGACTAGGTAAATACCAATGATTTTTGTATACAATTTTTTACTTTGTAAAATTATTCAAACATTAACAGAAGGCTGCTCCACTGTGTTTTACAGTCCATTTTTAAAGAAAGTTGTTCTCCAATTTCAGCCTTGATATATTTTTGTAAGATATCATTCTTGGTAGGTGATTGTCTAATTATTAGTATCAAATCGCATACTTTTTTATGACATAAAAGTCATTTTTAAATTCTGGCTGATTTGCATCAAATTCTTTTTTTTTATATAGAACATTAATTGCAGCAAGTTGTACAGCATAGGATAAACATAATTGTTGATAAGCAGCCAGCAATCTTATAAATTTTTTCATAACACTGGCACCATCAGTCATTATAGCCACAACTTCACTGTGTAGATTAAGACTATGGTCTTGGAATTTTTTTTCTTGAATAGTTCAATGTACTTTTCTGCTGGTATTTAATCTGTTATTTGCACTAAACCTAAACTCCAGAAGTGTGAATTCTGCCAATGATCGTTTATATTCATATAGGAATGGTTTTAAAATGAAAATCATTAAAAGACTAAAAAAATCTCTCTCCTACCCTGAATTCCGTTTTCTTGCATGCTTCAATTTGATGAACTAAACCTAATCTTATTTTTTTGCTATAGTCTAAACCTAATCTTATTTTTAATCTAAAACTAAACCTAATCTTATTTTTTTGCTGTATTCTACTACATGATTATGAATTGTGTTTACTGACGTAGAAATGGTTGACAAAAGACTTGAAAAGTTTTGTTTGTATGAGTCAGGTAAACATGAAGATAGAAGAGAGTTTTAAAGGGTTAAAGTGTGGGGAAAAAAACTAGATGAATAAAAGTTTTTAGAGCATACAGGGACAGATACAGTAAAAGAATGAGACTTTGCTGAATGATGAGTCAAGCAAGAATGTTGATGGAACTAGAGATGATAGCTTCTTTGAGCAGCAACCATGATAGTATTTGTAGAAAAGAGAAAGAAACTTTACGACAATGGTAAAGAGGTTCAAGCTTAGCAGAAAGAGCAGGTTCAACTATGTTTACAATGCGTTTTTGGACTTTGTCTAGAAGAGAAAGAGCATAATTAGAAGAACCAGCCCAAGTATGACAACAGTATTCCATGCAGGGAAAAATAAGAGTTTGTAGAGGTAGAGAATGGAATCAGGAGAAAGAAAATGGCAAGCACAATAATGAGAAGCAACGTAAGCAAATTTTAATTTAGCAATTGATTGTATTTATGGTTTTTATGAAAGGTTGGTAGTAAACGATAATCTAAGAAGATATAAAGAAGAGGACTCAGTGAGAGGTTGTCATTCATTAATATAGGAATATCAACAGTATTGCGATAATTGTTTGCAGTAAATAACTGAGTTTTGTTGGAGTAAAAATTTACAAACCACTGCAAGCCCCAATTTGTTACAGAAGTGAGATCATCAAAAAGAGAAGACTTTTTGTCAAGTGTTGTCAAAGTTGAGTCATCTGCAAAAAGAGCTATTTTAGATGTAAGGTTATCGGGATGATCATTAATGTAGATGAGAAACAAAACAGGACCAAGGATAAAAACTTGAGGTACCCTAGAAGTTACTAGACACCGCTTGATTCTAAGGGTTTTGGGTTGAATTTTAAAAGACATGAGGTTTTTTTTCATTCATTCATTCTTCATTCTATTAATATGTATATGTACAAGCTGGAATATGTTCAAAATAAAATCCTAGGTGTTCCTTCTTAGTACAAAATTTATGCTTTCCAAAATCCAGAAAAGAGTGTTTAAAAAACAATATCATTTTTATTATTTTATCTCTTATTATAAATATCATAGAAATCCACATGACCATCCATTGTCTTTGTTTTCAAAATGTGGTTAATTTAACATATAACAATATCTTTAATGATTTGATAACTTTATGGCTAACATGCTGCTACAAGTATTTTTTCAGGTTCTGTTCTGTACATTACAGGTTTCAAGAATCCACTTTTTAAGCTTCAATCTGTGGTTTATATAAGTTGCTATGATGGCATAGCGCTTCCATGGTTTTGTTAAATTTTTATGTACAGTCTTGGATGTTTGCTGTAAAAAAAGTCCAAGAGGTTTCTGGCTTCTATCAATAAAATCTACAAGGTGGTATTTAATTATATGGAACTTCCAACCAAGTGATTCCAACCAACCAAATTTTTTTTCTTTACTAAATAATCTAAATAAATAAAAATAGTAGCATTCTAAATAATCAGCAGATTCAATACTTTGCAAGATATCTTCACTGTATTTATATTTTATCTGCATTGAAAAACAACCTTTTGCAACTGAAACATTTTTTGTATATAATTGAAATATATATATATATATATATATATATATATATATATATATATATATATATATATATATATATATATATATATATAATATATATATAATATATATATATAATATATATATAATATATATATATATACATATGTATATAATAATATATATATATATATATATATATATATATATATATATATATATATATATAATATATATATAATATATATATAATATATATGCGTATGATTGTTACCTGTTCTAAACTTTTGCAGGGTTTCAATGCAGGTACTGAATTGGTGTTCCATGCATCATAACATCCAATATTTTGAGAACTTTACCACAATCCATCCAATCCGCTACCATTATACCCATGCCACATTAATGTATTTTTGTCGAAAAAGAATTTCAGGATTTAAGAATGTCAACAGTTTTTGTTACAACATGCTCATATATGTGAAGTTCCGGAGGAGGGATGGTATCAAGAATAAATTTTCTGGGATCTTACCCAAGCAAACATGGATTAACAACATTATTGTATAAATTCATAGTCTTTTAAGAATATCCTGCATAATTAATAAATTTAGACAAAATCTCTTACTGATATACCAAGAAGTACCTGTTTACGTTCTTTAGGTTAGAAGTCATTAAAAACTTGAGCTGATTTAAATCAATTAATTTAATAAGCATTTTAAGATTATGGTTATTTACCTTGACATTACATGGCAAAGCCAGAATTATCACCTTGTTTACTCCAGAGTTTTTCTCATTTCTACTTTGCTCCTCTAACTTTGTTTCATAAAAAATATTTCAATAATAGTTCTAATTTTATTTCTTTTATTTTCATAAAAGTAGGTTAAGTTACTAAACCTTCAGTGAACCCTGTCCTCCATTAATTCCAAATCCAACAATAGCTTTCATAGGATCTACTCCATGTAGAGAGCATATTTTTTAAACAAGTCTGGTTAGATCTTCAGATCTAATCAGATCTGGTAAGATCTTCACTGTATACAACATTTTTCAAAACAGAGTTTTCAAGTTCATCTTCCTTTCCATTTAAAAAAGAAATTTTTTTGTAACTGTAAAACTTTTCAAAAACATGATAATGCCTCATAACCACAACAATTCATAACCACAACAATTCATAACCACAACAATTCATAACCACAACAATTAAATTATTTTCAACAGCTAGTTGTAAAATCACAAATTTTAAACAATGTAAGTTATTATATTATATTAACTATTATAAATTTTTGGAAAATAAGTAAACTAATATACTGCCGTTTAAATGATATTATAAAATATTTAAACACCTAGACGACTAAAATCTTTTTGTAAATCTCTAAGAATATCATGAACAACATTTTCAGGCAGATTCTGATTTTTTTGAGATTAAATATTGTATCAGTAGAAACTACTTTATTTGTTTGGACGTAAGGTTTTCGTACTACAGGTAGCAGTGATCCTCCTAAAATTAGAATAGAATACTGCAGCAAGTCATTATTAATATCTGAACCAATAAATAAAAATATATCAGCGGATAATTGTAATGAATTTTCAGTCTTACTAGAAACTTTATAACAGTTGAAGTTATTTGCTCTGACATCTTTTTATTCATGTAAAGAATAAGATTCTTAGCATTTTGAACAGCAAATGTTCTGGTGCATAGGTGCCTAAAGCCTTTTTTAACTAGTTGAAAACAATCTGTGTAGAATGTATTAAACTTTCAATGGTCAAATTTTCATTTGACTCAATGATTAAATCACTTAAATTACAAATCTTATGGCTGCGTTTGTCTGATACAAAAAATTGGACACAGGCATAGGTTGTCAGTTGGTTTAACCCTTCCAATTTTTATTAGTAACTCTCTTCCACTTTTCCTAACTTCTTCAATCATTTTCATAGCCTTTCTTTGCTGTGAACAAGATTATTTGTTTTTTTAGTAAATTATTTTATAACTAGCAGTAAGCAACCTGTAATACACGTTGTTAATAAATAAAATTAAAAAAAAAAAACGTGTATAGAAAAGCCTAGAAACTACTTTAAAATAGAAAAGCCTAGAAAATGGTGTAACTCGACTAATAATAATATTAAATTAGCGTATTCATATTGTCAGAAAAGTTTTATAAGTTAATAAAATATTTATAAAATATAATGACCTTTTTGGCATAGAAAGCATTTTTGCAGCGGCAACAAAGTCCAGTGGGAAATGCATTTATATTAAAACTGAATCCTTTGTCTCAAATCTCAAATAAGTGCCACCAATGATAGCATACTATAAAGAAAGTAATAGTCCGCTTTGTTACAGCAACAAAAATAAACTGAATCTCTGGATTTATTATGATTTTTTTCCTTGAAAGATGAGCCATTTAGTATGTAATTTTTTTTTGGGGTAGATTATTGAAGTAATATTACATTTTTTATTAATAAAAATAAATGTTTATAAAATAAAAATGTAGTTATAAAATTATAATAGTTATTCAAATTTTAACAGTTTTCTAAACAAATCATCAACTTAATCATCAACCTCTTTAAGAGCTTTATTAGTGAAACTATTAAAAGTATTATTATATATTAACTTGAGTACCATATTTTGAAGACAAAGATAATGGAACGTCATTAAAGTCACAAGTGCATGATATTTATAATAAGAAATAGTTAAGATAGTAAAAATGATCTCAACCAAGAGTTCCAAGACAGGGGACTTTTAAGTCAGATTTTGTTTCTCTCTCTCTCTCTCTCTCTCTCTCTCTCTATATATATATATATATATATATATATATATATATATATATATATATATATATATATATATATATATATATATATATATATATATATATATATATATATATATATATATATATATATATATATATATATATATATATATATATATATATATATATATATATATATATATATAAAGTGAAAGTGTATTGGTGGATTTATAAGCTACACTTCACTTTTTTCTATTTCTAATTTTTTTCTTCTTGTAACTTCTTTCATTAATATTTTTATGACTTTCATAGATCCCTTTTATTGCTGGTAGATGTTTAAAAAAATGTAAGCAAGGCTGTTTATTCTTAGTATTGTTTATTGCTAGTATTGTTGCACTAGTGAATATAATATTCATTGATAATATCCTTAATATCCTTTGCTTTCATAAAAGTGACCTGTGTACCTAGTTTTTCACAAAGTCACCTTTTCTACTTTCATATTTTGCATTTTAAATTTCTACAATAAGTTATTTCTTGATCAGTGATGTTGTTTTTAAATTTTTTTTTTAACTTAATCCTAACAAGGTTAAAAGTTTTTTGGATATCCTGACCCCAGGAAAATAATGGTTGTAGTTATATGCAATAGTTTTCATCTTTGTTACATAATTACATTGAGTAAATAAATTGTTTTCATATCTTGCGGTAGCTTTTTACATCTGTGAGTTGATTGATAACATCTTTTGTGTTGATTTCTTTTAGAAGAATATTTTCTATTTGATGAATGGCTAAAGCCAGGACTGTCTTTGGGTCATCATGGCCCCCCAGCGAAATAACGGTTGTGACCTCTCCAGCCTCACCTTCCCCCTCCCCTACTCACACACTAAAATCTGTACATAAACACGATTTTTTTTATATACTTTATATAATAAATTACTTCATAAGACTAAAAAACCAATAAGTAAATGTGTTAATTAATTCAAAGAATGAGCGTTGGAAAATCAGATCTTTGTTTCCTACTTATACAATTGTAACAACAACAGAAAGAAACATCCTTTGAACAACATCAACATTAGATAACAACATCGAATGCAGATACAAGTTTCATTGAAACTTGTATCTACATTCCCTCACTAATTTACAATTAAATGTCAAATTGTTTGTGTAAATTTTTATAAGGTCTCAGGTGTGCAATGCAATTGCAACAGAATTCATATCTGAAAGATGAACAAGAAATCCAAAACAAGAGATAAATAAATAGAACATAAGCTTTCATTTGTTTTTCGAGCTCACATAAAAGTCAATTCATAATGATATTAGCCTCAGCAATCATTTTTTCAACATGACGCCAATCCGTCATGTTGGTGTTTGAACACTCGTTTTTGTTTTTGGTCAGCAGAGTACTTATTGGTGCCCACTAATGCCATAGCTTCTTTTTCTAATTTGTCAAAATTTGATCTAACCTCTTGAATGAAAATAGACGAAGAATTATCAGTTTATTCACCACTCTTAAGTAAATTTCAGCGACCTAAAGCATTTTGTTCAATTTGTTGTGCCTTTCCATAATTGAGCTCTAAATGGCTCTTATGAAGGCTGTCTCCAGCTGATCCATTTTCCTGAGAAGTATAATGAACTTAATCTGGCTAATATTTTGAAATATATAGCAGGCTTGGTTGGCAGAAAATGCTTCGACATTCTGAGCTAATTTTTGCTACGTACACTAATGGAGTCCTAGCACTGCTTTTTTAACAATGCATTGGGTTGTGTTTTTTTTTTTTGCAAAAAATTTTGGCAACTTTGGCAAGGGTGCAACAATATTTAGGTTTGCAATTCGTTTTAAATTTGCCTTTTTGATTCTTTTTCCTCTGGACTTTCTCTTGCTAAGCTTATCCATGTTAATGTTAATTCACTGATCACCCTAGACTTCTACTTGATCACTTTAAATATCTTTACTTTAAAAAAGCGATTTAGAAAAAAAGAATTCTTTTTTAAATTCATTTCTCCATCCCTCTGCAGACTTATTTTCTGTCTCCAATATTTATACAAGAAATTTTTTTTTTTAAATAGATTCAAGAAAAAAAAAAATTTAATAGATTTAAAAAAATTTTTTTTTATAGATAGAATATAAAAATTAAAGTAACATCTTTTTAAATCTTTATATATATATATATTTTTTTTTAATTATTCACCTCCCCAAAGCCCGAGGGGGCCACTACAGTCGAGGAGGCTACTCATTTTTTATTTTTTTTATTTTTTTGTTGTTGTTGTAAATCGTGGTACAACCCTCTCTCAACTCTTTAACTCCAAAACACGAACCTTGACAAGCAAGGCCGCTGCGCGGAGAAATTAAGTTGAGTCAAACTCCTAACCTCTTGCTTACAAAGCAAGTGCTCTTACCACAACACTACTACTGCATTTGATTTTTTTAAATGAATTACAATTCATTTGAAAAAAGGTTTTTTAATGAATTAAAAAAAAACAATTAATTTTTTGCTGGCCTTTCCAAACGATCTGGCCCCAAAGCAGCTGCCTAAGCTGGACATGTCTAAAGATGGGGCTGGCTAGAGCTGACAGACATTTCTGGCCATTATTAGACCTGGAACAATTCTTTCCTTTTTTTTTTTGTAGTTGAAAAGGACTTTTCTCTGATACAGTTTGTAGCAGTAGCAAAGAGAACAATTCTAGAATAATATCAACATATAATATCAACAGGTAATATGGATCTGAGTTTCTTCAATTGAACACTTTTCTATTAAACATATTGTATCCAATTGTTTTTTTTTTCAAAAAATTTAGTCAACTTTGGAATTTGGAGCATAAAAGAGCAGTTACAGTAAAAGGATGCTGAATAACATGGATGCATCTAAGGATGCTAAATAACATTTATTTTTAATAATTGTCATACTATATCTTTAAAAATTTATCTTTAGTAAAAATAATTATATTTTATACATCATATATGCATTTATTTCAAAGTAAAGTAAAATTCTATACATTTTTTTGGTTTCTGAAATTTTAATTTATAATTTGTTTATTTTAGCTTCTTGTTGGTACAACACCAAATATCATTTGTTCCAGGTATAATTTTCATATTATGTTTGATCGATTGAATTCTTTTTATTGCTCTGTCTTCTACTTGAAATAATATTTTTTCAAATACAAATCGTAAGATACATACAAAATAAAGTATTTAGCCAAGCTTGTTTTTTCAACTTAATTTCAAAATAAAAATAGGGATTACTAGTTACAAATGCTATGCCTATTTATTCAAACGAATGTAACTAATTCAAACAACACCCTCAAACTAGCTCATACACACCTTCAAACAAACTCATATATACTATTTTTCCTAAAAAAAGTTTAAATTTAAAAATCAAAACATTGTTCGAGATTGAATAATTAATCAGGCAAACAAGATACAGGTTTGCAAAGCACAAAGCCAGGATGTAAGTCTACCCAGTGGCACTATGCATACCGCAGAATTCCCAATGGCTTTAAAATTCCCAAAATTCAATAGCCTTTTCTTCTTTTTTTTTTGTTTGAAGTAATAGAACAAGCAGGTATGAAGTTTTTATTTCTTTTCTTCGGTTTTAAGCCTCACTCTCGCTCATGGTTCTCTCCATCTGGTGCATTTCCAATTGTAATCATTTTTTGCTTTTTCCACAAAAACAACTCTCTGGAAAACAAACATCTTTTTTTTTTTGCGAATGATGTATGATTATTATGATGCATGATGGTCGGTTATCATCAGATTACTAAGTCTTAGATTTTATCTCAGAAATTAATTTTTAGAGACTTAGGAGAAATCTTTAACAATGCCATTAACAAAGGCAAGCCTAACATTTTATCATTTATAGATTAAACAGATCTTATTACCTCTCCCAAGGATGAGACTTGGACTTAAAAAGGACTTCTAATTTAATTGTTATATTGAATCTAATTGCCACACTATTTCTGTCATCTTAAAAAAACAGGTTAATTCATTGTTAGACATCAAATTTAATCCTGCTTCTGTTGCTAAATTTATTTTCCTGTTAAACACTTCTACATCTTGATGTTCAAAAAACATTCCTGTCATGAACTCTCTTTATTGCTCTTAAAGCTATTTAAAAGTCTAACTTTCCATCTCTAATAGATGGATCTTATTTTATTACCTCTTCCATGGATAAGGTAAAATATTTGCATAAAATGTTTCTTTTAATTAATCTCTTGAATCTAATGACCACACTCTCCCTGTCATCCCAGAGAAACAGGTCCAATTCATTATTAGAAACCTCTATCACTCTTGTTTTTATTGCTAAACTTAATTCTTTTTTAAACTCTTCTACTAATTGTGGTCCAGACAACATTGCTGTCATAGTTACAAAAGTTACAAAAGTTTTTCCTAAAACTCTCTTTAATATATTCTGTAAACAATTTAATTTATGCTTAACTCTTATTATTCTGCTTAATAGAAAAGAGCATCATTTAATTCTTATAAACTCAGGAGATTGCTCTGGATCTATTTCCCTTTTCTATTATTAACACAATGTTTAAGGCTTTAATTAGCAAACTTCTTAAATCTAGTCTAACAAATTAACATTTAACAAAGTCTAACAAATTAATATTTGATAACACTGTCCAACAATATTTTTTTACATGCAGTGTAAAGCATGTATCTATCATTAAATCTTATGAAATTTCCAAAAATGCACTTATTTTGATCTCTTGATGGGTGGTTTTAAAAATAAAGAAATAATAAGATAAAATAAGAAATAATAAGATCAGACTCATGAATTAGAGATGAAATATTAAACTTAATTTTGGTAATGGCGCTGTTAAAAGTTTTCAAAAAGTCTCTTGAACATGACATCTGAGATGAATTACTAGACTAAGTAAACTAGGAATAACAGAGCTTAGCATGAGACCTTTTTACATTGACTTCTTGCAATAATAAAAGGACATTTGTTTGCAAAAAGATAAAAAAAATGATGATGGTTTTATATAGCAAATGCACAAGAATGCGAAAAATGTAGAGTTTTTCACCTTCTTGTGCAGTTTTGAAGAACCAACAAAAAGGAATAAAAGCTCCCATATCTGCTTGGATCCAAAAGGTGACAATAAGAGGTGATAAATATCCAGGAGGTTAGATAAATAGCACATTTATGCGTGCTTAATATGGATATAAATGAATATAAATACAAATGTATTCTATTTATTTAGATGCTGGCATATAATATCCTTGCTTATTTATATAAACTTAAGTATCTATATCGTGTAGTATTTGCTACATAAGAATAAGATGTCCAAATGGATGTATGGTATGACTCTAGCAAAACAAGAAAAGAAACCATAATCTTCTATGACAAACAATGTTTATCATAGAAGATTTGTGTTTCTTAATAGTTTGGGTTTCAGCGTGTAGAGAGGTAGCAATTTCAGGAGAAAATGATAGAAAAAAAGTAAGAAAACTTGGAGAGAGTAGTTACATATGGTATGAAAAAAGCTTTAATTAAGGAAAGAAGATGCTTGAAGTTTTATGACAGCATAAAAAGAGAATGCTAAAGATTGATAATGATGATTATTATAATGATTATGTTAATCATGATGATGCTTATACAACCTTAACTACCACAATATTTAGTTCAAAAATTTGTTGTTGTTTTATATATTTTTTAAGTTGTTTTTCTAGCTTTATTTTAAGGAAACTAAGAATAGAGTAAACAAATAATGAAATAAAATCTCATTATTTTTTAAATAAAGTTCTTTGCAAACTCAATTTTTTTTTGAATATTTTTTTTTATAAATCAAAACGTTATTTCTTTTTTGTCTATAACTTAATATGTATATGTATCTATAGGTAAATATGTATACATGTCTATACATGTATATATAAGCATATATGTATATATGTCCATATATTTATATATAAGCGTATCTATATATATGTAGACTAAAAAATATTTATAAGCAAAGTTATAATAGCGAAATATCTTAGAGTGTTAATAGAAACATTTAAAATTGTTTGTATACCTGTATTTTTTTACAGACAGAAACATAGTGATGAATCACAGTATCTTCAAAATAGTATTATCCCTACAATGCATTTTCAAAAGAGTCTTCCTAGATTGCCTATTCCAAAGTTAGAAGACACAGTACGACGTTATTTAGAGGCACAAAAGCCACTTTTATCAACAGATGCATATAAAAAGACAAAACAGATTGCAGATAATTTTCTTGGTCTAGATGGAAAAGGTAATAACTTATTAACTCAAGGTAATCTCTTATCAGATGACATTAACTCTTCTACAATTATTTAACTTTATTAACATAATTTTTTTTTTATAAATAATAATCTAGGTGATGACATACATTATTACATCAAGAGCTCCTTGGCCTTCTCAGATAGATTAGAGTCTTTTCCCTGGCTGTTCCTCATTCTAGACATGTTAGTATTGTAGTTGCAAAGCATTTTCATCATAAGATCATAGTTTGTCTAAGGCCTGGAGAATTTTTTTGTGTAGTGCTCTCTGTTGCTTTAATGAAAAACAATAATATTAGACCCACTTAAAGTGCAATTTTCTAAGTAAAAACGAAAGAAAAGTTTTAAAAAGTTGTTTAGACAAATTCAAAATTAAAAGTGATGTAGTAGTTTTTTCACTTTCAACACAATGAGAAATTAGAAATCCTAATTTCTCGTGAACAAACTAGTTTCTCTTTACTAAATTAAACTCTTCTATTTATATAAATAAAAACTCTTTGCATATATCAATACAAATAATACTTTTTCTCTTCCATAAATCATCTTTATAAACATGTTCACATAAATGTAACACAATATAATAATCCACAAAAATGCTCATTAAAAAACCGCTTAAACATAAAAAAATAGTTACTAATATAAAAAACTATTGAACAAAAATCATATAGTTGTCATAAAATGTTCTGTAACTTTCCATAACAACATTAAAAGTGCTATTTAAAATAGGTTTTAACAAGGTTTAAATGATTAAAAATCAAAAACCATTCTTTATGAACCTTCTTAAGTTTTTTCAGACAAAATGTATGATTGTTTATCACTTATAATGAAAAGCCTAGTATCTACTGTGCTCAACTGAGCTCAGAAAATTCAGTTTTAAAATTTTACATATTAATGAAAGTGTAATTTAAAGTTGGTGTAGCTTAATGTTTTTCTGCTTGTGTAAAGATGTAAAAAAGGTCCGCATGTGTAAAGGTAAGTGTAAAAAAAGTAAGCATATCAAGGGGTTTTATTGAAAAACTTTTTGAAAAAATTGCAAGAATAAAAATAAATTTCTATATTTCTTCTTATTTAACATATGGTGTCCCTGGCCTAATATATGCTGTTAAGAAATAGTTCATGCATCTTTAAATATAAACTAATTATTGTTTTTTTTTTATTAATACAGGGTGCGGAAAAAGTTCTGATAATTTTTTCAGATATTTTAACAGTGAATGTCTAATTTAAGAGGTATATCGAATAACAGGGCCAACAATGCGCGGGGAAAGGGGGGAAACATGCCCCCCTCCTACTTTTTTTAGAACTTCTAGCGAACTTTTTTTTATAAATAAATGGTTGTGCACCTCCACTTCGAAACCCATGCCGTCGGCCATGAATAAGCCAGTTTTATTTTCAATTCTTTTATTTTATTTTTTATTTTTTATTTTAATAATTTTTTTTCAAATTATAAGGGAGTTCTATTTTCAAATAACTTTTATTCTAGTTAATAAGATAAATAATAATTATATTATAGATATATAATATAATTAAATATCTATAATATAATCTTATATATATATCTATATATAATATAATCTTATATATATATATATAATATAATATAATATAATCAATATGCATCTTTAATATATAAAAATATTAAAGATGCATATTGAATTTTATAAATTTTTTATTAATTCAAAACAATTTTTAACGCATTTGCAAAGTGCGTGCAAATTAATGATAACTAATATACAATATGACTGTAAATACTTATCCATTAATACAAAATAATAAATTTTTCTCAATTTAGTTTGTTAAATTTATTTATTTATAAAAAAACTTGAAGAAATTTAAATAAAAAGGAACTAAAAATAAAATAAAAGTTATTTTGAAATTCCTTTTCTAAATCATTTAAAAATAATATAATAATAAGTATTTAATAAGTTGTTATATTAAGTTATTATTAAATACTTAATATGATATTATTATATTTAGGGGAAGTGGGGGCATAACTTCCCTAGGCTTGGACAGGAATGGCTTGTGATCGCACTCTGTAACTGACCACGCTATTATATTTTTTTCTTTACAACTTGACCACGGCTATTTTGATGTTTTAATAATTTAAATGCAATAAAAAGTGTAACGTTATAAATAACATTTAATTGTTGATCTATTCTAAAGTTTTTATTTTATCTGGCTTTAAATAAAACCATATAATTAATTATAATGATTGTTTACATAAACGTATGTGTAAAAAATGTTAAATATAATTTTTTTTTATGTAGGCATGCATTTTGTTATTATAAATTTAAACGTTTAAAACTATTTTTCCATGTCTTCCTGAAAATCTTTTAAAACATTTTTAGAATAAATAATGTTTTAAAAGATTTTTAGGAAAAAGAAATGTATGTAAAAAGAAATGTAAACGTTTACGTTTACATACATTTTGTCTGAAAAAACTTAAGAAGGCTCATAAAGAATGGTTTTAGATTTTTAATCATTTAAACCTTGTTAAAACCTATTTTAAATAGCATTTTTAATGTTGCTATGGAAAGTTACAAAACATTTTATGACAACTATGTGATTTTTGTTTAATAGTTTTTTTTTATTAGTAACTTTAATTAATGAATAACTAGCTTTTACACATTTTATGTAAATTATACAAGAATATAAAATAACTATATTTAGTTATATAACTTTTTTTTATGTGGGTATGTATTTTTTATGATAAACTTAAATGTTTGAAACTATTTTTCCATGTCTTCCTAAAAAATTTTTAAACCATTATTTTTTTACTAGCTTTTACACATTTTATGTGAATTACACAAGAATATAAAATAACTTTATTTACTTATATAAGCGTGTATTTTGTTGATTAACGAAAAAGTTTTGAAGCATTTTCAATGTTCTTACAATTAATTTTTATAATTAAACTTACGATTTTTTTAAATCTTTTAAACAAACATTTAATTTTAAAAAAATTTTTTTTTTTTTTTTTTTTTAATTACGATAGGAATAAATGAAATTAAATCTTTGATAATAATTTTTAAATTTGTTATACGAAGCGCTTATTAATAAAGTTGCAATAATCAAATTAAAATTAAATTAAAATGCTTTTTGGCAGTTTATTTTATTTAAATCGCTGGCGCATTTTATTTATTTATTTTTTTCCTTTTTATAAGAATAAAAAAGTTGAAAACTTTTTTTAACTAGACTTATTAATTAGAACATAAAGTTATTAAAAATTACTATTTTAAAAAAACTACGTCATTTTTTTAAACATTTTTTTTTTTTTGCAACTTTTTTGAAAAAATGTTTATACATTTTAAAAATGTTATATTCAACACCTTTTAATAAATTTGATAAAATTTGTTCATTTATTAAACAATCATTAGTAGCAATTTGTTACTTAATTTAAAAGCATTTTGCATAACTTCAATAAAACGTTTAAAAAGATTTATTTCAAATGTAATTAAATATGTAACAAAAAGTTTCGCTTCAAGTTTAATTTTTTATTTTTTATTTTTATTCTAGTGCTTATATAATTTCTTTTTCGTAAAGAATTTTTATTTTTTTCTTTTTTCATTATGATTTTTTTTCTTTAGTTTCTTCTTTTAACTTTTTTCCTAGTTTAAGTTTAAATTTAAGCTTATCGTTTCTCCATTGTCAGTGCATTTCTGAAATGTATAAATCATCAAAACATTTGAACAATCGGTACACTTTTCTTTGTACATTTTCTTTACAATTGTCACACCTCAGATTATGTGTAGGCATTCTTTGTATTTACAGTATGAGTTTTCTCATTTGATATACTCCTAGCTTTATAATTTATTCAAAAACTCATAAAAAATAAACAAAAAAAAAACGAAATCTTATTTCCAACATCTCAAAACAAAACTCTATTCAATTTTTTACATGAACGCATTCAAGTGTGACGATTGTAGTTATTGTTATTCGTAATAACCTAACGTTGATAAATATTAAAAGTATGCGGTTTTTCCTACTATGCGTCTATGCGGTTCTGTCCCAAAGGACAGTTTTTAGAAAGAATACAGTTTCATAGCTTGCTTATTAGGTTATGTTGATATCAAAAATGGTTTTCACTTGAAGAAACAATGCTGATAACACATATCTTTAACACTAAAATAGTGCGATTATGCCCCCACTTCCCCTATAATCCTCAGTCAATCATTATCTTGTCAATCATTATCTTCCTCAGTCAATCATTATCTTGCTCTACAGATTTAGTCTTTTCTCTTCCAGTAACTTCCAACTCTTATAGTGGTTGCTTGCAGCCTTGTTGGAAGTGAAATTAGAAAAAAAAAAAAAAAAAAAAAAAAAAAAAATAATACAAAGTATTTAATGATAAAATATCATGTTATTGGTGTTGTTAAACGAACAGTAAAAAATGAAAACTATAATAAACATAGTTCTATATATTCCATTAAAATACATATATTTCTGCTAATCTTAAAAAAAAATTTTAAAAATTTAAAAAGAGCATTATTTTAATTAAATATTACTTTAATTTAATGATAATAAGAAAATTAAAAAAAACGCACGCTTTTAAAGAAAGCAATGTTTTAGCATGGTTTCTTTAAAAGTAATTGCAAATGCATTTATTTTAACTAAAATTTTCCATGCTTTTGTAAACACATGTAAAAACTATGCTAAAACATAGCGAAGTCAAGATAAGGGTTATCAGGATTAACTACTGGTAGCATGAAATCCAGTACAATAACAGGTTGAGTGCAGTACTTCCTGACTTAAACCACGTTTCAATCTATCTTTGACAAATATTAGTGGTCTTCAAGTTAGTTTTATTTATAACCAGAAAAGGTTTGAAAGTAATATCTTTTTAATTGATATACTGACTGCCCAAATCAAACTTTTCGATGCAGCAGTGTTCCTTGTGTATCTTTTTCAAGACAAATAAGATATGACTTAATAAATCATACTTAAATATAAAACAAAATACTCACTTGGGAAATGTTACATATTAAAAATCTTATAATAAAACAGGTTTATTACTAGTTTTACCATATGTATAATGCAAGGTTTTGTTCATGCATGATTTTTATTTATATCTTAAGGGACATTGTTAACATATAAGGAATTTTTAATTAAACATTGCGCTTACTATTGTCTGGAATTTGGAAAAATATATGCAATGTCTCAAACAAGATCAAAAAAGGTTTTAATAGAAAAAACCATTGAATAGCCATCTGAGTATAAGCTGCCAGCAAAAAGAGAACACTTGGATATCTTCATTATATAAAATATTTTATGACATCAATTTCTAAATCTGTTAGACTTAGACATGATTGCCTGCCCCTTTTTTAAATTTTTTTTACGCTAAATGTACAAATCTAGTGGTTGCCAGCAAAGAGAGAGCAGTTTGATGTGTGTTACTAAAGTTGTAGTTAACATATGGGAAAAGACTTCAATTCCAATATTGTGTCATAAACAAATACAGTATAAATAATACTTGTAATTTCTAATTTTGATAAGAATAATGTTATTATAAATATGATAAAATTTTAGTAATTAACTTTAATTTCTAACTTATAATTATACCTTAAAAGAATGACATACTGGCATTGGAAAATCAGAGAAGCAGATTGCAAGCAAAAAGAAATAAGGGGCCTACAGGGTATGAAAAATTTCGTGTAGAATTTTGGGAAAAAATGCATAATCTTTTCGACATTTCTCCTTCAGATGTTAATGATATGATAATAAAAGATAAGACTAAATCACTTTCAACCAGAGAAGAAGACTGTTTGTTTTTGGATGACCTAATAGGCCTGCGAAAATGCCAATTGAGTGAAAGGACAAAAATTATGAAAAAATTATAAAAAGAAAGATTGCGAAAATAAATCAGTTTCAAGCAAATATGATTGGTCAACCATCGTCTAAACATTCTGAACTCAGATGAGTTAGATAAAGACTTTAAAGAATGCAAATCAAAAAGAAAAAAAAAATGATTTTATAACGGGTTTTTTAACCTAAAGATATAATTAAGTCAACACATTGTTGTAAAAAGATACAATATTTCTTCAACAGGTCAGAAAGCTATAATTGCAAGTTATCATAAATAAAGATTTGAATAAGTTTTCACTATCAGAAGCAACTTCATTAAGGCATAATAAAATAATCTTAACAAATAAAGGGGTTAAAATAAGTCTTTAATCTCAAAAGCTAAACACTTATTTCTTCATATCTTCATATGGAAATATTAAACACTTATTTCTTCATATCTTCATATGGACTCTTCATATGGAAACAAAAAAATTACAGATGTTCTTAATCATGGCAAAAGATTGGCAGTAATTGTAAGCTCACTAGATCTCAACAAGCCCCAGATTATTGGAGTAATTGGAATTTCAGATGGGTGTGGAATAACCCAGGCTGCTGCAATCAAAAAGGTTTTAAATAAAGGGAATCTTTTTAAAGGTAATAATTGAGACATTGAGACGCAAATTACTAGTTTGGCTAGCATGTAGACACTATGTTGTTGAACTTCAAGCTAAAGAAATAGAAAAAATGACAGGCAAAGTTACAAATGGACCTACAGACAGCACATGATAACTGGGATAATATGTTTGCTAAAGGAATAAGTTATGAAAATATGAACAATTTTGACTGGAAAAATAACCGTGGAACATTTATTGAAAATAAGGTGAGATTATAATCTGTTAAGACTTATAATGAGGAAAGGAAATATGTAATGTTAATAAAACATACTTTTTATCATCGCGCAAGTAATTTCTCAATTAATTGAATAAATATTTTTTGTAGGCTAATAAAATCTTACAGTTTTATGGTGAAATTTTTAAGAAAAACGTATTTCCCAGAGTTGACTATAAGTACCTTTGCCAATTAACAATTATATACTTCCATCATGCAAGATATCTTGCTAAACCAATTTATAATTTTGTTCTTTACCTTCTTAGTCCACAGCTTGATTCAAATCTTTTTTCTGCAAACAATATGTCAGGCCTTGTTAAGAAGTGTTTCCCTATTTGAATTTTACGTACATATTCACGATTTCACGTATGTATTTCGCAATTTACATTACAAAAAAACTTTTTTCAATAAGTTTAATTTAAACAGTTTTTTAAAACAGATTATGCAGAAAACATTAAACTGTAATTTTTGTAAAAAAACCTTTGTGGTATATTTTTTTTATTAGATAAAAAAAACAGATAAATATCCTTTTTTCTATTTTCTGTTTTTAAAAAAAATATATAATTTATTTTATTAAATTTAAATTAATTTTAATATTATTCATAGTTTTAGTAATTTATTTGATTAAATTTAATCAAAATTCTTTAAAAAAAATCTATGTTAAAGTAAAAAAAAAAAATTAATAAATTTAATTTAAGTAACTTTAAAATAATCGCATTACATATTGTCGGCTCGGGATGCAATTGTTGTATTGCAAATTTATTAAAGTTATATATAAATATGTAATTATCTAATATATGTAAATTTAGCATCATATATTAATAAAAAAGTTTTTTTTAAAACGTTATGTTAAATAATTTATATTAAATGATTTTTTACATTTACATAACTTTAAACTTACATAAATTACGTTATTACATATTTATATATAATTTTAATAAATTTGCGATACGATAATTGCATCCCGAGCCGATGATATAACTTTATTTTAAAGGTTTTTTTAAAAAGGGGAAAACCCAATCTAATTGTGTAGTAAGTACATTTTAATCTCTTTAAAATCAACCATAAACAAGTGTCCCCTCTTTTATAAAAAAATAACCATAAAAATTATATTTTAAAGAAAAAAAAATTAAGTTCAAATAAGTATAAAATTTTAAAATAAGGAAATTTTTTTTTAATCAACATTTAAATTTAATTTATAACTTTTTTTATAACATTGTTTAATTTAAATATGTTTCATTTAAAAGACTTACAATAATTTCTAATGTGTTTTTGAATTTAATTACAATGAGGTATTTTAAAATACGCAACTTATGCAATTAAACTTTTAACGATGTAAATATCTTTATTTAATAAAGTTACATTTATTCACGTTGCGCTTTTCCATTACGCAATAAAATCTCATAACAAGGCCTGATAATATGTCACATTTTTGCTGAGTTTGTTGGAGTGTTTTATACTTATTTGTTTTTAAAAGCCCTTTTTTCATATACAGCTTCTTTTTTCATATACAGCTCCTTAGATGAATTTAAAAGCGATCAAAGGTCTTTTAATTATCAAATTAAAAGACCTGGTATTGCCCAAGCTTGCATTAATACGATGAAACAACATCCTTGGTACCAGAGGTACCAGAGAACAGTTATTTTCTCCATAGCTAACAAGTAACTATTGCCCGAAGTTAGAGAAAGTGTTGCTAAAAAGCTGTTTAACTCTGACTCTAAACAAGAAATTGGTGAGCTAATTCCTTTTTAAGAGCAATACAAGAATTCAATTACTTCTAATCTGTCATTATTTGTAGGCGGCATGAGTTGGTTGGTTTTTGAGAACCTTGGATTTAAAAAGAACGATCTTGAGTGGTGTCAAGTTAGTTGTAAGAAATGGATAGAAATATAGCTGCAGAACAGAAGATTTTTGGACTGGGTTTATAAACTACATGTTATAAATGATTCTGCTGAAAGAACGTTTTTTGATTAAAAAACATACCCAACCAAATATTTTGTGAGGTTTTAAAATTTTATCTAATTTAGAAAAACAGTTATCTTTGAAAATTTTCACAAAATATTTTAAGAACTTTCACAAAATACCTCAAAAAAACCTTGTTTTGCAGAGAAATTCTGCCATTTGTTAACTTTCGCTATTAACTTACATCGTCGACTTATGTATTAAAAATCTCAATTCGGGATACACGTGTAATTAATTCTAACATAAAACAAGTATTAAAAAAACAAATGTAAAATTGCATTTTTAAATAAATTTTCCTAATAAAATAAATTTTGACTAGCCGAAATGTTGGTATCAGTTTCGCTATAATATTTGCCGAAATGTCAGTTTTGGTTTCGAGAACCAACAAATTTGAGTACCCGAAATTTTGGTTTATTTTGGTTTCAGCTTTTTTTCTGTTTTGGTCAAACACTACTAATGGCAGTAAGTGCAGTGCGTAAACCTGTTGAAAAACAAATCAAATATTAATTTTAATTTCTTTTTTGATGGTTCATCTGATCTGTTTGCTCCAGTTATATAAACTTTGCTTGCAATTCTGGCCTTTACATTATGCACTGGGAACAAATGTACATTTATAAGATTGAACCAACACTAATTTTTACAGTCCAGCAATATGCATGCTGCTCTCTGGTCTTTTTTTTTTTAATTATCAATTTTTTTTTTATATTAACCCATTAATGCTTGCAATATCAGGATCCTGAAATCTTGGTATTTTTCATAATTCCAAAATCCCAGGATTGTCCAGTATTAAATTCTGGGTTTTAGGAATTACGGAAATATAGGAAAAAAATGAATGATTTTGGGATCCTAGTATCGCAAGCATTAATGGATAGCTAATATCAAAAAAAGTTAGTTTAAAAGTATACCAACAAGGATATCAAAAGAAGCAAAATAGTATAAAAAATATTTATTATTTTATTTAAAATTTATTATTGTATAAATACTATTTTATAAAGTAACATTAAAATATTTATTTTTTTGCGATTTAAATAAAAAAAAAAATTTCAAGACTTTTTTATATGTTACTATTTCTGTTATAGTCCTGCACTCTGAACTAATTGCTAAAGATAATGCAATGAAGCACACAAGCTTTATTTCAGGTTAAATTTATTTATTTATAAATAAAATAGATCATTGTAATAGTTTTTAGTTAAAAATTATTTATTTTAATATTTTAGAACCTTGGTTTGATATGTATTTAAAGTATAGAGATTCTATTGTTCTTAACCATAATCCCTTTATCCTGGCTGTTGATGATCCAAGTACAACTGATCAGGTTTTTCTAATTTCATAGTATGATTTATAATAAAGTTTTGCAACTTTTTGATCCAAGTTTATCCAATATAACATTCTAACAAATTCTGAAACTTTATTTTTAAATCTTTTGTAATGAAAGGCTCTTACATTTTATTCTGCCTTATTTTCTTAAAAACACTTAAATTAGCGTTGGTTCAAGCATATAAATATTTTTTCGTGTATAAAAATATTTTTTTATCATTTAAATCTTTTTTAAGTTGTTTTTTGTTTGTTTTTTTAAATACATACAAAAATGATACATAAATAAATGCATAAATGATACATAAAACAAAGATTTTTATTAAGTCTGCATAAATATTTTTATTGGTGTCCCCATCGCAAATATCTTCAGATATTTGCAATGGGGAGACGATTTGAAAAAAAAAATTGAAAAAAGGTTTTAAATTGAGTTTATTGAAAAAGAGAAATTAGTATACAAGATTATTTACTACATTAGTTAGGGGAGGGGTGTGTGCCACGACTAATACCCCCCCCCCCCCCTTGCCCCTACTTATTCAAACTTTAAAAAAATGTCAATAGAATTTTAAAAACAGTGCTTGGTCTTTCCTAATTTTTGGTTTTTAATTTGAAACAAGATTTTTTTTATAATGTTAATTATTTTTAATTTCTTCTTTGTTAAATAAAGCTGACTAGAGCAACAAAGTTGGTATATTCTTCTCTACTATTCAAAAACAGTCTGGATGCATCAAATCTTGAACCAGATGTTTACCATATGAATCCAAAGAAAAGCGATACAAATTTGTTTCGAAGACTTTCAAGGTATCATGGTTTCAATCATAAATTTTAGAAGCTTTTTTTTTTTCATCACAATTTTTTTTATGTTTCTTTTCCAAATATTTTGAAATGATAACAAAAAAAATAAAATTTTGCATTCAAAACATAAATCTAGTCTTCAAACAATCAAACGTTTAAAAAAAGTTGGACTTTTGAATTTAAAAATTTTTTAGCATGGCACCTAGCTCTTTGTCTTGGTATGTCGCTTATCTTTTTAAAGCATTTCCATTAGACATGTCACAGTATTCTCGATTGTTCAATACAACAAGAGTTCCAAAGCCTTTGAAAGATGAGTTAAAGACAATAAAAGGTGGTAGGCAGGTTTTAGTCATTCGAAACGGTCATATATTCTTATTTGATGCCATCGATAAAAACGGTAAATAAGTTTTTTATTTTAATATTATATGCACATCCTATATGTTTTTTTTTAACTATTATTTTTCAATATATTAATTTTATTATACAATTATAATTTTTTATAGGTAATTTAGTTTCAAAACATACAATCCATGCCAATCTAAAAGCCATTGTTGAAAAAAGCAATACTTTAGAAGAAAATCCTTTAGCAGTCCTCACTTCTGAGAAAAGGGACACATGGGCATCTTTACGAGCTCATTTAGAGAAAAACCCCAAAAATAGTCAACTTTTGCATTCGTTAGATTCTGCACTATTTGGTCTTTTTCTAGATGACAAAGAATGTTTAAATGAACAAGATGCATCTAAGATATTTTTATATGGTGAAGGTCATAGCAGGTAAATTTTTTAATTAATCAAGAAAATTTTAGTTCAGATATATTTTGATCATTTATTTTTATGAACATCATAAGTTGTGTAGTTGCATGTTTGCCACATAAACAGTAATGCTAAAATAAACAGTAAAGCTAAAAATAAACAGTAAAGCTCGTTTTTTTGTAATTATCTATGCTACTCTTACTTTTTATGTTTAATAAAAATTATTAAGCATAAAAAAGCTATTATTATGACTCTATTGTTAATTTCTCAAATATTTGTGGTTTTTGTACTTCTTACAAAATTCACTAAAGCTGCTTTCTCATGAAACTAATTTGGTTTACCTCTTCCAACTTCACTGCTTGTGGTTATTATTCTCTTGTTTGTAAACACTTCAATAGTCACATGATTGGCATGGGCATCATGTGTCTATGTATAGACTAGTTATTTCAATTAACTTAATAAATTGTTTTTAATACTAAATAAAGTGTTTTAAAGTTTAATATAGTGTTTTTGTTATGTTGAGTCATATACTAAATTAATTTTTGTGAAGAGATTTACTAAATAATAAAAAAGATCGTTACCCTAGTGATAGTCTGGTGATATTATATAATTTTTGAGATGTTTTTTATTAAATGAAGACTCTCCATGAAAAAAAACCCGCAAAAACATTATTTAAGATAATTGCTATTGTGTTTTGTGATGTTTATGAAATGATACTCATATTTATTAAATATTATTAATATTTAAAAATATTTTATTTTTATAAAGTTTATTATATGAAAATGGTACCTTTAGGTGGTTTGACAAATCATTTCATATGGCTTTATCAAAGAATGCTAAAATGGCAATAAATTTTGAACATTCTTGGGGTGATGGAGTGTCAGTTGTACGTTTTCTCAATGAAGTAACAAAAGCATCAGCAGCTGATTTGTTTAATCCATCTGAAGATACTGATTCTTCATTGACATTTTACAAGTTAGATTTCGAAATTGATGATGTTATCAAAAATGCCATTTCAAAAGGTTTTAAATAATAATTTTTAGCTTATGTAGAACACCAATCCTTAAAAAAATATGAGTTCAATAGTTTAAGATTAATCACTGCCCTAACTCAAAATCTCAGTCAATGTTGTCTCTCTCTTGCATATTCTCCCTAAATAGTTGGTTGATTTATGTACTGAAGCCCTCTTTATTTCAGTATAATGTCCAATTTAGATAAGTTTATAATATTGTGCACTTAGCTAAGCTAAGTGCACAATAGAAAGATATAAGTTAAATGATTTATTTTTAGCTCAAGAAACCTTCAATGAAAGGACTAGTAAATTGAAAGTAACTGCTGGTAAAGTTGAGAACTTTGGTAAAAACTTTTTAAAAACAAAAAATCTTAGTCCAGATGCAATGATGCAGTTGGCATTTCAGGTTAATTAAAGTTATTTATTTTTAAGTTAATTAAAGTTATTTATTTTCAGGTTAATGAAACTTATTTATAAAAAAAGCTACCTAGGCGTTTTAATTTCTAAGAGTTGGTAAGAATGTATAACTTAGCAAAATAAAATGTTTTTAATAGATAGCATACTTTCGACAAAATGGTAAGCATGCAGCCACCTATGAAAGCTGTTCAACAGCAGCATTTAAACATGGTAGAACTGAAACTGTTCGACCATGCACTGTTGCCACTGTTGCATGTGCAGAAGCATTTAACTCCAGTCACAGTGCATCAGTTAGTGAAATGAATCATTTGTTAAAAGAATCATCTGATATGCACAATAAATTAACTAAAGAAGCAGCTATGGGTAAAAAAATTAATGTTTTATGTTGTTGTAATCTTTTTTATTTCTGAGTTACAAAAGTTAATATGTTATTTATAAATATATTTTTTTCAATATACTTATTATAATTACATTATTAATAAATTATAAACTTAAGAAAAAATAGATAAATTGTATTAAGTTTAACATATTTTATATTGTATTAAGTTAAACATGAATTGAATTAAGTTTAACATAACATATTTTATATTGTATTTAATAAATTTTATCATATATATTATTAGATGATATTTATTATTAATCATTAATTTCACATGCATTAGCTTTTTCCTAAGGTAGTTAGTTTCATTTGTTGTTTATATATTATTTGTTGTTATTATGTTTGTTGTTTGTTGAGTAAAGTTGCAATATTTTTTGCATCGAGTTGCAATATTTTTTGCATCGAGTTGCAATATTTTTTGATTATGTCTTAGTGTTTATGTCCTTTTTCTTATCAAATTTTAAAATTTAAATTTAAAAAATTGAATCATGCTACTGGATGATGCCTCTCTACTAATGTTGTCAATTTAGATATCTCAAGTCTTTTCCCTTATTCTTGAATTCTTAGATTTTTAATCCTTGTTTCTCTTTGATGTTTAATCAATTTTACTTGTTTTATTAGTTTTTATAGTACTTCTTTTTTATAGTACTTCTTTTTTTATAGTACATTACTTTTTATAGTACATTACCTTTTTTATAGTACATTACTTTTTATAGTACATTACTTTTTTTATAGTACAGTACTTTTTATAGTACATTACTTTTTTTATAGTACAGTACTTTTTTATAGTACTTCTTTTTTATAGTACATCTTTTATAGTACTTTTTGTTTTACATCTTTTGTAGTACTCATTTAGAGTACTCTGCTCCAAACTGGAGCAGAGTACTCTAAATGAGGATGAACCAGAAATGTATAATCTCATTGAGGAACCAGAAATGTATAATCAATTTTAACCAGAAATGTATAATCTCATTGAATTTGTATTGAGATCTCTAAAACTGTGCTTTTTTAGACCAAATTTTATATTTACTTTTCCGATCATCATTCCGATAACAAAAAAAATTTTCATAAAATAAAAAAACAACATGTTTGTTTTAAATTGTGTGATTTTTGAATTTAAAAAATTTAAAAATAAAAGTTTATATTTTTAGGTGCAGGTTTCGACCGTCATTTGTTTGCATTGAATCATCTGGCTCAAAGTACTAATCGCAAATCAGAATTTTTTGATGACTATGCTTACAAAAACATTAGTCATAATATATTGTCTACAAGCACAGTAGCTAGTCCTTATATCCAAT